TAAGTATGACTGCCAGCTCCTACGCTGCGGACGTGTAGCGTATGAATGCAGGGTCTTGTTAGTGTGGTAGGATGAATGTACTTTGCAGTGCTCTGAGTTGTAAAGGCTATTTTCAGGTAACCGGTTTACAGGCTACTATTCCAACATGTATCAGAAGCCCAATCCAGTTTTCAGTCTTCTTTTAATTCTCTCATGCTTCTGGTTCCTAAACCTGGACTAAGGTTCTCTACCTATATGAGAGAGCTACCATTAGATTAGATTTCCACTATATTAACTTCATTCAGAACAATTTCACACAAATTTAAAAGATCTAATACTTAGAAACCACTTAGGACCCAATCTTCCATTTATTAAAGACATAGATACTATAATTACTTAGAATATTAATATTTGCAAATAAATCTGCGATAAATTTTTAATGTATTTAGCCAAAACCACTAAAAATGCTAATAAACTGAATTTAGTTATATTTAAAACATTTTCCATACAACATTACCTAATATTGATAGATAGTTCATTATTCAAATACTTACAAATCTATTTTTATATATGGGAAGTTTTAGAAATAGTTCCTATAAATAAGTACCTCATTACTATCTACCTATCCATCTACCTACCTACCTACCAAAATAAACTATTAGAAGTGACTGTTACAATTAGGAATGTTTTGTTTCCTCAACACTATAGAACAAAATTTAAAAAGATAATTGGAGTCTCAAGAATTCCTCCAACTAAGGAGAGCTGAATCCCATTATTAAATCTAACATCAATTTTGTACTGAAAGAATCATAGGGTTTCACAAAAGTATTAGCCAATTTGTAAATGTCTCCACTTTATGAGGAAGTAAAAAAGGTAGAATCTGGCCCAAATGCCTAGCTGTTTCATGTCTAATTACAATAATTAAACAGGATGAGGAGCTGCCACAGCAAACAGACCAGCAGATTTCCTCTCTTCTTTCCTGCCTTGGGCTAAGAGACAAGACACTTTATGTCAGAGACTCCGCCAACAAGGATTTCATACAAAGGTGGTGTTTGATAATCGCTGCCTGCATCTTCCTTTGGGAAGGACTAAAAGTTCTTGTCTGTTCAGAAATCTCTATTAGTATGTTTCATAGGTTTACTACTTAAAAGAGAAATCTTTCATGTTTGTGAGGCATGGTAGATCCAAAGCTCAAATTAGCTGGAATTCTCTCGATGTCCAAGGAAGGAAAGAAAGGAAAGCATGGCAAGATACAGGCATCAAGCAGATAAAATATGTTTACTCTGGAAAGAATCAGATTTAAGATCCCAGCACTTTAGAAGGCTGAGGCAGGAGGATCACTTGAGCCCAGGAATTTGAGGTTGCAGCGAGCTATGATCATGCTACTGTACTTCAGTCTGCATGACAGAGAGAAACTATATTAAAAAAAGAAAAAAATTAGTCCTTGGGTTTCAATAGCAATTTCAAAGAGAACGATATACCTTACCTCCAAAGAGCCTCTCACAAACAATTTTTTTTTCTAAATTACTCAGTTATTAGCAAGAAATGCACGTCTTGGAATCATCTCCCAACAGAAAAAAGGAATAGAAGACCGAGGTAATAAGGAACCTAGAAAAACATTTCACTAGATACAGAAAACAATGAGCATGATCTCTTACATGGAAATATTTAAGTTGAATTTGTATTGAGTGCATGCTGTTTAAAATAATATAAATATTACCCAAGAGTACAATCTCCCTGAAATTAACTGTCCTTCACAGACATTTCTATCAGGAAAATGCAGTGTGAGCTTCTAACAGCCAACTGTGACACACTTGGGAACCCAAACCATTTGTAAATTCAGGTTGTTGTAACATTCTAAATGTTCCTTAACAAAAAAAGTCAGTTTCTTCCCAACTGTGGTTTCTCTCAATTTTAGAGTATTGTCTCCTGTCATTAAAAAGTTCCTACACATGGATACATTTTCGTCATTTAAAAAAAGTTGATATCCCATTGTAATTTGATACCAAACAAAACAATACACTTGAAATCTCACCAGTCTTTCTTGGTTTCATTATTCCCCAGGGTCATTACTCCCTCTAGAGGCTGAAAACGTGAATCTGATAAGTTTTTGAAATAAACAAAAACCCAAGTTAAAGAAAAAGTTAACTTTCTCTCTGTTAAAGTGTTAATTTAACTAGAAAAAGTTAATCAGCATAAATGGTAAGATAAACAGTGAATTTCCTATCATTATTCAAGCACTCAAATGAGCCCGTCTACATTTAATATAAGGATGGGGGATACAGCCCACTAAGTATCCCATCGTCTCTGATGAGAAGACGTGGAGCATAATATTCACATACGAGAAAAACTGAAATTATGGAATAGTTAGGCTCAACCTTATCTGGCAGTCTAGAAAGCAGCTCTGAATCATATGAGGAGCAGATACAAAATACCTGCTGTTTAGTATGAAATTTAATTCTGAAAACACATGAAGCAAAGAGATGGTTCGTTCCTTTTTCTTTTTTTTTTAGACAGAGTCTCACTCTGTCACCCAGGCTGGAGTACAGTGGTACAATCAAGGCTTACTGCAACCCTCCTGGGTTCAAGCAATTCTCCTGCATCAGCCTCCCAAGCAGCTGGGAGTATAGGTGCCTACCACTGTGCCTGTCGAATTGTTTTTTTTTGTAGTAGAGACGGGGTTTTGTCATGTTTGCCAGGCTGGTCTCAAACTCCTGGCCTGAAGCAATCTGCCTGCCTTGGCCTCCCAAAGTGCTGGGATTACAGGCATGAAACACCACACCTGACCCTCTTCTCCTCCATACACGGTCCTTCTCTTATCACTGGTATAACACATACTATGAATATTTTGGTAGGTCTAATGTTTAGACATAATGGATCATAAATAGATGAAAGGCAGTAATATCTAATTTCACTGCCTAATTATAAGAGCTCAGGCTTGTTAATTTCATTTACTTTTTTTAACCCAGAGAATCTCAAGTCTGAGCACATTTGAACACCTGGGGCACTTTAAAAATTAACTTACCTTTGGGCCTCACCCTAGAAAACAGAGAATATTTCCCAGTGGACTAGGGTATTAGTAGTTTTCAAAAAATGCTACTCAGCTGGGTATGGTGGTTCACACCTATAAGCCCAGCACATTGGGAAGCTGAGGCAGGAGGATTGCTTGAGCCTTTAATTTTGAGACCAGAGTGGGCAATACGGTGAGACCTCACCCCTACAAAAAATAAAATAATTAGCTGGGCATGGTGCTGTGTGCCCGTGGTACCAGCTACTCAGCAGGCTGAGGTGGGAAAAGCCCAGTTAGTTGAGGCTGCAATGAGCCATGTTTTGGCCACTGCACTCCAGCCTGGGTGACAGAGCGAGATGGTCTCAAAAGAAAAAACAAAAACAACAACAAAAAGCACTACTCAGCTAAAACTATAAAACTCTAAAGCACAGGAAACACAATGGAAAAAGATACATTGGACTTCATAATATATAGATATGCTGGGTAGAAAACCTGGTAGAGGTAACGTAGAAGGAAAGAGGAAGGGACACACGCTAGAAAATACAGATAGGAAAGACTAACATTCTCATAATAGACGTCCTGGAGAAAGGAAAAAAGATAACGAGGAGAACACTGTTGAAGAAATAATGCAGCTAAAATCTCCTGAATAAAAAACACGAGAAATGTCAGAATACTAGGGCTAGTTCTGAGAATATTAAGTAAGAGAAAAAGGAAAAACCCAGTTAGCAACATTACAGTGAAATGCGGAATATGAAAGACAAAAAATTTTCAAGAGTACCTGGCACAAAGCAGATACGTAGTAAGTGTTTATAGAAAAACCAACAAAAGCATGAGATATCATCAAATCTTTCTTTTTTTTTGGAGATAGAGTCTCACTCTGTTGCCCAGGCTGGAGTGCAGTGGTGTAATCTTGGCTCACTGTAACCTCCACCTCCTGGAAGCAAGTGATTCTCCTGTCTCAGCCTCCCACGTGGCTGAGATTACAGGTGTGCACCACTATGCCCGGCTAATTTTTGTATTTTTAGTAGAGATGGGGTTTCGCTATGTTGGTCAGGCTGGTCTTGAACTCCTGGCCTCAAGTGATCTGTTCACCTTGGCCTCTCAAAGTGCTGGGACTTCAGGCATGAGCCACAATGCCCCACTGATATACAAAAATCATCTGATCTTTATGAGCCAGTTTATTGTACCAGATCCAATTTTACTAGGGAAAAAACATAACACGATTACATATTGAAGTTAATAAATTAAAAAGAATATCTGAATATCAGTTAAATGTCCCATATGTCAAGACTACAGTTAAAAATTGTTCCTGGTCAAATTAGGATCTTACGTCTCTTTCTTTCTGTTTAGGATACCATTTTCAGGAATAGCTAAAATGTATTTTCAAGGTAGGTTCCAAGCAAGGCAGATCTTGGCCAGATGCAATGGCTCACATCTGTAATCCCAGCACTTTGGGAGGCCGAGGCAGGCGGATCCCTTGAACTCAGGAGTTTGAGACCAGCCTGGGCAACATGGAGAAACCCTGTCTCCTCAAAAAAATACAAAAATTAGCCAGGTATGGTGGCATGCGCATGTAGTCCCAGTTCCTTGGGAGGCTAAGTTGGGAGGATGGCTTGAGCTTGGGAGGTGGAGGTTGCGGTAGCTGAGGTTTTGTCACTGCATTCCAGCCTGGGTAAGAGAGCCAGACCTCGTCTCAAACAAACAAACAAACAAAAAAAGGCTAGTTTAACTATGCCATTTTGAAGCACAACACATCCAATCTTCTTTTCAGTATGTCTTCACAAAGCCTCAAGTGCTCCTCTATTTGTGTCTATGTATGCCAGGAGCACTGGAAATGAAGAGGATATAACAGACATGTATTTAACTTCCAGCTACTGGGTTTTCTAAGAAGAGTCAGAGAGTCAGGGACTTCTCATAAACACATTCTCTGGTAAGGAAATGTCCTGTATCTTTTCCCATCCTTGTAACAGTTAAGACAGAAACTCATGGAAGTTTTTCAGTAATGGCTTACCTGGTCAATATCAGCATTTCTTGGAAGAAAATAAACAATATTATTAGTAATCTTCTTGGAAAGTCTGAAAATTTCAAAGGTGGACAGCAGTTAAGGAAAAATAACAGAAAATAGCAGCTAATTTCTAATCAGAAAGAGATGTGTTTAACCCACTGTAACTCTAATGTATTTCAAAATGTAACTAAAAGGCAAAAACTTAATGAAACCTAAGATAATTAAATACAAAATTTTGTAATTCAGCAACATATTGTTCCAATAGTTCAAAGAGTAATAGTTAAATCGATTTATTCAATTATCCTAGTGGTAGGTACTGGGCAAGACTCAGAAATATAGACCCTTTCTCTGTCATTTCCTAATTACTGAGAAAACAGAATAGAAAATAGCAAAGCACAATACCACTTCTTCCCAGTAAAGAATAAGGTAACCCTGGACATTGCAGTCAACACCCTAAATTACATTTTTAAATTTTATTTATTTCTTTATTTTTCAGACAGAGTCTGGCTCTGCTGCCCAGGCTGGAGTACAGTAGCACAATCTCAGTTCATGGCAACCTCTTCCCAGGTTCAAGTTATCCTTGTGCCTCTGCCTCCCAAGTAGCAGGGATTATAGGATTATAGGTGTGTGCCACCACGCCCAGCTAATTTATGCTGTAATGTTTTTTTTTTTTTTGAGACAGAGCCTTGCTCTGTCACTTAGGCTGGAGTGCAGTGGTGGGTTCAAACGATTCTCCTGCCTTAGCCTCCTGAGCAGCTGTGATTACAGGTGCCCACTACCATGCCCAGCTAATTTTTGCATTTTTAGCCGAGACTGGTTTCACCATGTTGGTCAGACTGGTCTCAAACTCCTGAACTCAAATGATTTGCCTGCCTTGGCCTCTCAAAGTGTTGGGATTACTGGTGTGAGCCACAGTGCCCCACGGTATTACCTAAATTTAACAGCAATTTACAAACATGTTTCCTGTTAAGTGTCAAACAGATGGGCCGGGCGTGGTGGCTCACACTTGTAATCCCAGGACCTTGGGAGGCTGCGGCGGGTGGATCACAAGGTCAAGAGATCGAGACCATCCTGGTCAACATGGTGAAACCCCATCTCTACTGAAAATACAAAAATTAGCTGGGCATGGTGGTGCATGCCTGTGCCTGTAGTCCCAGCTACTTGGGAGGCTGAGGCAGGAGAATTGCCTGAACCCAGGAGGCGGAGGTTGCGGTGAGCCAAGATTGCGCCATTGCACTCCAGCCTGGGTAACAAGAGTGAAACTCCATCTCAGAAAAAAAAAAAAAGAGTCAAACAGATGATTACTCTGGAGTGGCAGGCAGAGAAAGGGACAAACATTACTCTATGAAATAAGGGTTTGCTTTGATATCCTGGAAGAGTAACTGTAAAAATTTGAAGATACATAGCAAATTAGCCAGTGCCAATGTGAATTGAAGAATGTTACAGAATGGTTACCCACAAACTCCAGGGATAATTTGAGGAAATTCCCAATACGCAGACAGTAAGTCCAATATATGTGTTGTAGTCCTTGTTTTATAATGGCAAAATTGAAGAGCATGCAAAGGAAATATGACCTCATATTTCCCATTACTTTTGGAGATCAACCCCATTTTACATACCTGCCTTTTATGTAAAATAAACTAGAATTTATCAAATGCTGTTAGCTAATATCGCCTCTCTTCACTAATTTCTCCCTCTCTTTTTTGAGACAGAGTCCTGCTCTGTCGCTCAGGCTGGAGTGCAGTGGCATGATCTCAGCTCACTGCAACCTCTGCCTCTTGGGTTAAAGTGATTCTCGTGCCTCGGCCTCCCGAATAGCTGGATTATAGTCATGTGCCACCATGCCCGGCTAATTTTTCTATTTTGAATAGAGACGGGGTTTCACCATGTTGGCCAGGCTGATCTCAAACTCCTGACCTCAGGTGATCTACCTACCTCAGCCTCCCAAAGTGCTGGGATTACAGATGTGAGCCACCATACCTGCACACCCCACCCACCCTGCTACATTCCCTCTTTCTCTCTCTCATGCTCCTTTCTCTCCACAATCACTGTTTCAGTAAACTCTTAGGACTTCCAAAGGATATCCATCAGGAGACATCATTGTCCTAATGTCAAAGGTCTCTGCAGTGGCGTAGTCTGGCCCTCCCCAAGGTGGGCTGAGGAACACAACATCAGCCTTTAAACAAGGAGCCAGCAGCAAGAAATCTCCACAGATAAACTCTATCTTATCTGCTATTCCATAAACTTCTGCATTATTACGAGCAAGAGCAATCTTAACAGGATCGATATCAACGGCAATCACTACAAATGAGAAAAGAAAAAAATGAGTTAATTGACACTGATTATTACTTATACAGGATAGTTCATCTTTCGAATAGTCTGCCACCTTCTGTATCAGAACTCTTTTTAAAGAGGAGCCATCTGGCCACATATACCAGAGATATAGACTTCAGTTTAAATTTTTTATTTCAATTAGAAAGAGTCACTTGTGTTGTACCAAGCAAAATGTGCCTCAGGGACTTGGCTTTCGTGTCTCACTCAGACAGCTCTTCCTAAGCAAGTTGCAATACTTGCCACAACAGATCTACTGAGGGCCAAATATGTGGCCACCATTGTGCTGAGAAGCAAACACTTGAAAAGCTCACTGACTGTATGTAGGGCCTGTAACGCCAGGTTTTGGAAAAGACAAACTTCCTCAAAATGCAGCAATGCCGAGGCGGGTGGATCACGAGGTCAAGAGATCGAGACCATCCTGGTCAACATGGTGAAACCCCGTCTCTACTAAAAATACAAAAAATTAGCTGGGCATGGTGGCGCATGCCTGTAATCCCAGCTACTCAGGAGGCTGAGGCAGGAGAATTGCCTGAACCCAGGAGGCGGAGGTTGTGGTGAGCCGAGATCGCGCCATTGCACTCCAGCCTGGGTAACAAGAGCGAAACTCTGTCTCAAAAAAAAAAAAAAAAAGATGCAGCAATGCCCAAATGAGCACAAATTCGACAACTTCTAAAGAAAACCAAAATAAAACACATTTTTACAAACTTATGTAGCGAAGTGATGAAGAAGAAATGTAAAAACACCTGCCAATAATGTTTAATGCGACATTTTAGGCAGAGGAAAGATAATATGTTTTCCCCAAATGGACTTTCGTTTACTTTATTCCAATTTCATAATTAGAAATACAGACATAATTTAAGTTTAGCCTGTCGATGTTCTGCAGTAAACTACTCAGTACACTTGCATGTGCACTAGTGTGTTAATGGCAGTATTCTTTATTTGAAAGGGCTAAGTGGAACCATGACGCACACAGCATGGTTGTCGTGGAAATGCAGTTGTTTTCCAGAAAACGCTAGTTTCCAAATTTGTCAATATTTTTGAAAGAAATAATGTGCTAAATCACTTGAATAATAAATGTAAGCACCAATTATAATATAATGCAAAATCATATATTTACAATACTGTTTTTCCTGTTCTAAATAAACTAACATTCACATTTGTAAGAGAAAAGATCCTTTTCAGCTGCTCAATTGGTTACATTTATAGTTCAGAGACAGATGGAAAGATATGCTGATGAGACCAAAAATTCAAAAGAAAAAGTGACTTTCAACATCAAAATCTATTCAGTTAATCCTATTTTCATCTGTATTTCTTTTGGAGGCAGACTTGTTTTTAGGCATAATAAGAATTCCATCTATCACACAAAAGAAATGCTGGCTGGGTGCAGTGGCTCATGCCTCTAGTCCCAGCACTTTGGGAGGCTAAGGCACGTGGATTCCTTGAGCTTTGGAGTTCAAAACCCTACCTGCACCAAAAACATAAAAAATTGTGTTGTACCAGGTGTGGTGGCATGTGCCAGTAGTCCCAGCTACTCAGAAGGTTTAGCTGGGAGAATCACTTGAGCCTGGGAGGAGGAGGTTGCAGTGAGCTGAGACTGTGCCACAGCACTCCAGCCTGGGTGAGAGTGAAACCCCTCCACTTCACAACCTTCGCTCCCTGCCCCCACCAAAAAGCTGACAAATGTTAAACCTCAGCCACACTAGCACATCTTGACTGCTTAATGGCCATTTGTGACTACTGGCTATCATACTGGACAGCATAGATATAGAACATTTAAGTCTTCACAAAAAGTTCCACACTACAGTACTGATCCTGAACTACTGGAACACATAAAAAGGGGAAAAATATCTAACAACAGACAGTAATATGTAAAACTTTACAGATTCCCTAGCCCTTTAGTTATGCACAGACAGCTAGTATCTGAATGGAAATATCTCTGGCACAAAGAGATAATCTCAACTATATGCAATGCCATCTTTTTGTATACATGTGCGTATATATGTAAATGCATAAATACATACATACATACAGTTCAAGCATAATTTTTATATGAATGTGTATATAAGAACACATAAACATACATTACGATAGGGAATTCAAAACAGTTAAGTGTAACTGGTATGTGTGTACTTACATACGTACATACTAACACACTAAATCAATCATACTTTAATTGTTTTGAATTTCCTGCCATAATGTAGTTAGCTCAACCATCCTAGGGAGATATTAGGAGGAGCACTGATAACTAACATTCATGGAGCACCTGGTTTGGGGGGCAAGTTATGGGACCCCACTACCCTGAACATGCTGGAGGGTTCCTGCGTTTCCAGTCACACATGCTGCAAAGGCAGAAAGTCATGATAGCACTGGGAAGGCCACAGGGTTTGCTGTCTGCCTTTTTCCCCCAGAGGTTGGCAATCTCTAATGGTGAGTGATTAAAAAACACCATGGGGCGGTGACGGGAGCTGGTCTATGAGAATACGAACAAAGTGGTCTCCCTTTAGCTTGGGACCCAAGCCAGACATTTTCCTTTACCAAATGTGCACTAAACTAGAAAAAGTCTTGGCAAAAGATCTATATCACAGAAATACAAATCTACGGGCTCACACCTTTAATCCCAGCACTTTGGCAGGCTCCAGTGCGTGGATTACCTGAGGTCGGAGTTTGAGACCAACCTTGCTAACATGGTGAAACCCCGTCTCTACTAAAAATACAAAAATTAGCTGGGGGTGGTGGTGGGCGCCTGTAGTCCCAGCTACTTCAGAGGCTGAGGCAGAAGAATCGCTTGAACCCGGGAGGTGGAGGTTGCAGTGAGTTGAGATCGCACCACTGCACTCCAGCCTGGGTGACAGAATGAGACTCCATCTAAAAAAAAAAAAAAAACACCACTAATCTAAATATAGACTGTTTGATAATATTTTCAGATCTGTTTGCTACTTTATCAGGGGACAGGTGTTTTAATCACCATGTTATGATACAAGGCCAAAATGAAGATACATTTTGAGGAAAGAACATTTTTAAGGCAATAAATATTGATTACAGCCCATAGGAATGGCTTATCTGGCAAAGTCTGAGAACAACTTTGAGAGTAAATAGTGAATTCAAGGAAAAAAATAATCACTATTCTAGTAAATATGAAAATAGCTTGTCTCTCGGCTGTCAGGAGACCACATAAAGTTAGCAAATATCATGCCACAGGAGTAGTAAAACAGGGCCACATTTCATCAGCACGGACCTTAAAAATCTGTGTAATAGTAAAGCAGTTAAGATCATTTTCAGTGCAATTTGATTAAAGTCAGTTTCTCTGACTAGACTGAGCAGGGACTGAGTCTGTTTTTTCTACAGCTGCTACCTGCTTTCCGGAATCATATTATACCTTCCTACTTAACATTAACAACTTCACATAAATTAATGAGATTCAACAGAAATCTGTTGAAATGAAACTATCATTGATATAAATAATATGAAGATATTTAAAAATATGCATCTTCAGAATAAAAACTAAATAAAAACTCGGCTTCTTGTCTGAGTGTGATGGCTCATGCCTGTAATCCCAGCACTTTTGGAGGCCAAGGGGAGGTTTACTTAAAGTCAGGGCTTCAAGACCAGCCTGGGGAATACAGCAAGATCCTGTCTCTACAACTATTTTTTAAAAAATTAGCTGGGCATGATGTCATGTGCCTGTAATCCCAGCTACGTGCGAGGCTAAGTTGGGAGGATCACTTGAGCCTGGCGTGTCAAGGCTGCAGTGAGTCCTGATCATGCCACTACACTTTAGCCTGGGCGATACAGTGAGACCCTGTCTCAAAAACAAAACAAAGAAACAAACAAAACCCTGCTGTATGACCCAGCTATATCAGTTTGGGTAGAATGTTCAACTTCTTCAACCCATTTTTTTCCCTGGGGAAAAGCACATTACCTACTTGACAGTTACTGGCAGTTACAAAGTGATAGAGGTTTTCTTTCTTTCTTTTCTTTTTTTTTTAAAAAGATGGGGTTTCACCATGTTGGTCAGGCTGGTCTTGAACTCCTGACCTCAGGTGATCCGCCCACCTTGGCCTCTAAAGTGCTTGGATTACAGGCGTGAGCCAATAGAGGTTTTCTTTCTTGTGATCCCAAAGTCAAGCAACAAATACTATATGAGGGTAAGGTAATATTTAAATGATTTTGAACCTCTGAAACTTAAACCTTTTTGAAAGGTATCACAGAGGTCACCTAAATTCAATGTCTCCTTTAAATTATGGTTAAATGATGTCCAAAGTCATAAAGACGGTGAGTGGCAAAGCTGGGACTTCCTGACCACTGTTCGATACTCCGCCATTTTAGTACTTTTGGTTTTATAAAATATTATCTTGGCTTCAAGTTAGTAGGTGTGTCACTATAATCTTGGGCAAGTTATTCTAGCTCTTTATGTCTCTGTTTGTCTGGGAAACACAGATAGTAAGACATAATTCACAAGATTGTTGACTAAATAAAATAATACATATAGTTGGCCCTTAACATGGAAGTTAGGAGCCTTGACCCCTTGTGCAGTCAAAAATCTATGCATAACTTTTGACTCCCCAAACTTAACTTTTAATAGCCTACTGTTGACCTGAAGTCTCACCAATAATGTAAACAGTTGATTAACATATATTTTGTACACTGTATTATATACATTGTATTCCTAATATAAAGAAACATAGAAAAAACTACTACTAAGCAAATTGTAAGGAAAATACATTTACAGTACTGCATTTATTGATAAGGTAGGGTTTTCTTTTCTTTTGAGACTGAGTCTCATTGTTGCCCAGGCTGGAGTGCAGTGGCGCCATCTTGGCTTGCTGCAACCTCCACCTCCGAGGTTCAAGTGATTCTCCTGCCTCAGCCTCCTGAGTAGCTGTAACTACTGCTAATTTTTGTAATTGTAGTAGAGACGACGTTTCGTCATATTGGTAGGGTTGGTCTTGAACTCCTGACATCAGGTGATCCACCTGCCTCCGCCTCCCAAAGTGTTGGGATTACGGGTGTGAGCCACTGCCCCCAGCGATAAGTAGGTTTACACCATCCGTTTACAAGATGAATTGTTTGAAATGGCCCTTAATCTACAGTACCTATCAGGCAATTCAACTTTTCCTTGTAGTATCATCACTTCCAGCATCTCACTAGTGGCACTTCATATAGGCCCCATGATGTTAGTCAAGGTTTATGATACTGCACTAAACACAATGAAAAGTACGCTCGAGAGATCACTTTTTACTGCTACACACAATTTATAGGAGAGATGAACTGCTTACATGGAGATGACTGCATCACACTGCATTTTAAGCACATACTTGCAACATTGGAGCTCACCAATAGCAGGAGGTGGCTATGAGGTAATTATAGTCTGTACTCTAGTTATGTTTATGTAATTACGATTTAATGCTGCATCTTTACATCTGTTTACATTTCTCTTGGCTTAAACGGTGCCATGCACAGTCTAAGTTTTGATTACATTTGATTAAATTTTAAGTTATAATTGGGGTTTTTTTTTTTTGAGGCAGAGTTTCCATCTTGTTGCCAAGGATGGAGTGCAATGGTGCAATCTCGGCTCACTGCAACCTCTGCCTCCCGGGTTCAAGCCTCTCGAGTAGCTGAAATTACAGGCATATGCCACCATGCCCAGCTACTTTTGTACTTTTAGTAGAGATGGGGTTTCTCCATGTTGGTCAGGCTGGTTTCAAACTCCCAACCTCAGGTGATCTACCTGCCTCGGCCTCCCAAAGCGTTGGGGTTACAGGTGTGAGCCACTAAGACTGTCGTATAATTTTTTTTTTTAAGAGCCTGGGTCTTACTCTATTGCCCAAGCTGGAGTGCAGTGGTGTAATCATAACTCACTGCAGCCTGGAATTTTTGGGCTCAGGTCATCCTCCCATCAAAGCCTCCTGAGTAGCTGGGATTATAGGCACACAGCACCATGCCTAATTTTCAAATTTTTTCTTTTTTATAAGACAGAGTGTCCCTCTGTCACCCAAGATGGAATGCAATCACACAATCTTGGCTCACTGCACCCTTTGTCGCCAGGGTTCAAACGAGCCTCCAGCCTCAGCCTTCTGTAGCTGGGACGACAGGTGTGTGCCACCATGCCGAACTAATTTTTGTATTTTTAGTAGAGACAAAGTTTCACCATGTTGGCCAGGCTGGTCTGCAACTCCTGACTTCAGATTATCTGCCCATCTTGGCCTCCCAAAGTGCTGGGATTACAGGTGTAAGGCACTGTGCCTGGTCAATCTTTAAAATTTTTTCTAGAGACCAAGTTGGTCTCAAACTCCTGGCCTCAAGTGATCCTCTTGTCTTCTAAATTGCTAGAATTACAGGCATGAATCACCATGCCCAGGCAAATTTTAAGTTTTTATAACAGATTTGTGCACATTTTTTTTTGAAACAGAGTTTGGCTCTTGTAGCCCAGGTTGGAGAGCAATGGCGAGATCTTGGCTCACTGCAACCTGCGCCTCCTGGGTTCAAGTGATTCTCCTGCGTCAGCCTCCCAAGTAGCTGGGATTACAGGCATGTGCCACCACGTCCGGCTAATTTTGTATTTTTAGTAGAGATGAGGATTCTTCATGTTGTTCAGGCTGGTCTCTAACTTCCGACTTCAGGTGATCTGCCTGCCTCGGCCTCCCAAAGTGTTGGGATTACAGGCGTGAGCCACCATGCATGACCAAGATTTGTGCATATTTTATGGTAGTATATGATAAAACGGACTAGTATCTATTTATGTTTTATGCAGCTATGACATTCCTAACTTTTAAATTATTTTAATGTATCTAGGCTATAGGGGGTTTATCTGCAAGTGTTTTTTTTAATTGTCACTAATCTCCAGAACATTTTCCAATATATTTACTTAAAAAAATCTGGGTATAAGTGGACTCACGCAGTTCAAACCTGTATTGTCCAAGGGTCAACTGTATGAAGCATTCACACCAGTATGCAATACAAAGCATATGCCTAATATATGCTATTATTTTAAATCATTTCATACTCAATTATGAATTATATATTAAATCTCAATAAGATAGGCTGTAGCAAAATGAAACATTTACTGAATAAACTGGACATCAAATAGTTCTCTTCCATTGATGGCTAATTACCTCTCATTCCTGTTAAGGCAAACTGAATGGTATTTCCTCCAACCCCACAGAATGCATCCACTACCACGTCACACTTGAAGGAGTGACTGACACGGCCAGCAATGTGTTCAGCAATCTTCTCGGGTGTAACTGAAAACCAGCCCTCTGCAATGAAAGAATATTTGTGTTAACATATTCAATTTCAAAAAGCCAAGGCAAGCATAAAGGTAGCAAATATTACTATATTTTACATACTTTTTTTTTGGAGACAGAGTCTCCCTCTGTTGCCAGGCTGGAGTGCAATGGTGCAAACTCAGCTCACTGCAACCTCCGCCTCCCAGGTTCAAGTGATTCTCTTGCTTCAACCTCCTGAGTAGCTGGGACTACAGGCATGTGCCACCATGCCCAGCTAACTCTTGTATTTTTAGTAGAGACAGGGTTTCACCATGTTGGCCAGGATAGTCTCGATATCTTGACCTCATGATCCACCACTTCAGCCTCCCAAAGTGCTGGGACTACAGGCGTGAGCCACCAAGCCTGGCCGGGTCTTAACAGACTTTTAAAAAGCTTAGTTTCACTTTTAATAAAACTATAAATTACCTAGTTTTAAAGAAAAAAATTTCAAAGCTTGTTAGAAAAAGCAGTACAATTCCCAGTTTCCACAGAAACGATGACCTCAATTGTTAACCTAATTCTCTTATAATACTGTATACCTCCATCTTTCTAATAACTGAATTACAACTTTGATGTTTCTATTTGACTTTAACTACTGAATCCAGGCTGGTCTCGAACTCCTGGCCTCAAGTGATCTGCCTACCTCAGCCTCCCAAAGTGCTGGGATTACAGCTGTGAGCCACCATGCTCGACCAAAACTGCATGTTTTTAAAGGGTTAGAAAAATCAAGGAGCTGACAGCAAAAGGGCACAGGGCTGCAGAAGTCCAGGAGGAATAGCAGAGCCCTCATCATTTTCAGAAATGAGGTCCTGTGTCCACTCTAGAGGAAAGAGAATAGTGACCTCATTCTTTCCTAGTAGAACAAATTTACATTTTTCAGAAAGACATTTCTCAGAACAAAATGATGTGCTGGGCTGGGCGTGGTGGCTCATGCCTATAATCCCAGCACTCTGGGAGGCTGAGGCAGGTGGATCACTTGAGCCCAAGATTTTGAGACCAGTCTGGAAAACACAGCAAAACCCTGTCTCTATAAAAAATTAGCCAAGCATGGTAGTGCTTGCTTGTAATCCCAGCTACTCAGGAGGCCGAGGCATGAGGATTGCTTTTAGCCTAGAGGTAGAGGTTTTAGTCAGCAGAGATTGTGCTACTGCACACCAGCCTGGGTGACAGAGTGAGACCCTGTCTCAAAAAAAAAAAAAAAAAAAAAAAGAAGAAAAGAAAAATAAATAAAAATGATGTGTGTTCATTTTCCTGTTGCCTCCCCTGACCAAAACTTTAAATGGCTCTTCAATACTGGAAAAGAACTGCAAGCGTTTTCCAGTCTTATTTCGCCTTACAAATTCCTATGTACTTTTTCCAGTATACAACATTTTGCAAATTATTTTAAAAGGGTCAGAGAACCCCTGAAATTCCATCATAGATCAAGAACTTCTCATTTTGTTAGTTAATAAAAACCAGTATTTGGGTAACCCCAACATGAAAATGAGCATCAGTCTGCAGGACTGAATTAAGTAAGCTGTTGCAGATCGCAGCAGGAAAGCTGGAGAAAATTCAAACTTTGCCAAGTTAATTCGTTACATTTTATCTTTCTGCACTAGATATTTATTCATAAGATTTTCTGTTTAATAACTTATCAATTGCTTTTGCTATCTATCCTAATGTGCTACAAAAACAGATTAAACCCAAATCTGAAGTTTTAAAAACACACACACACACATATACACACACACACACACACCCAAATTGAAGGACATTCTGTAAAGTAAGTGGCCATTTATCCTTTGAGAAATGTCAGTCATGAAAGACAAGGCTAAGATTTCAGATTAAAGGAAACCAATGGAAAAATAACATGAAAAATAAATGTAATACATGATCCTATACTGGAAGGAAAAAAATACGTGACAAAGAACAAGACTAGGACAACCGAAGAAACTAGAGTATAAACTGTATAATACTTGAACAATGTTAAATTGATACTTTACTCTCTTTTAAACGAAAATAGACTGTTCTTAGGAAATACACGATAACGTATTAAGGAGTATGGGCATGATGTGTTTAAGTGGATCAGGAAAAGATACACACACATACATATGGAGAGATAATGAGAAAGTAAATGGGGCAAAATGTTGAAAACAGCTGAATCTGGGTAAAGGGAATATGAACATTCCCTGTATTATTCTTACAACTTTCTGTAAGTTTGAAATGGTTTCAAAATAAGGCTAAAAAATACATATATATACTTTACCTCTGTCCAACTTAATCCCATCATCAAAACGGGAGAAGAGCCTGTACCTCTGGGCCCAGTACTTTGCCAGCTCAGGAACAGCAGCTATTTCAGGAGGCAGACCATTCACCTTTTTGTTCTTCTTCTTGTTCTTCTTCTTTTTCACTTCAGCTAAAATAAAAGGTAAAGAATATAGATGCTCACTAAGAAAAAATGAGTATCACAAGTGAATTTATCTAAAAATGAAGCCACATCAAATAATTACAAGCAGAACATGTATATAATGACACACCCAGAGAAACAGGAGAGCCTGATGGAAATGCCACTGACTTCAATCTCAGCCAGCATTTTGCTACTTACTGGCTTTGTAAGCTTGGAAAAGTAATCCAGGCTCTTTAAGCTCCAATTATTATTTCCTATAAAAGGAATGAATGGGGGCCAAGCACGGTGGCTCACGGCTGTAATCCCAGCACTTTGGGAGATCACCTGAGGTCAGGAGTTTGAGACCAGTCTGACCAACATGGAGAAAACCTGTCTCCACTAAAACAAATAAAAAAATTAGCCAGGTATGGTGGTGGGCACCTATAATCCCAGCTACTCGGGAGGCCGAGGCAGAAGAATTGCTTGAACCTGGGAGATGGAGGTTGCAGTGAGCCGAGATTGCACCACTGCACTCCAGCCTGGTTGACAGAGCAAGACTTTGTCAAAAACAAACAGACAAAGGAATGAATGAATGAATGAATAAGTTAGTGAGGGGTATTTTACTAACAATTCACAGGCAGTGATGGGAAATATGTAGAAATATTGCTATAGACATAAAAGTTTTTACTTCTGTTAGTCAAGACACTGCTTTATGTGGTGAATTACAGAAATCTAGGGCTGGGCGCGGTGGCTCAAGCCTGTAATCCCAGCACTTTGGGAGGCCGAGACGGGTGGATCATGAGGTCAAGAGATCGAGACCATCCTGGTCAACATGGTGGAACGCCGTCTCTACTAAAAATACAAAAAAATTAGCTGGGCATGGTGGCGCGTGCCTGTAATCCCAGCTACTTAGGAGGCTGAGGCAGGAGAATTGCCAGAACCCAGGAGGAGGAGGTTGCAGTGAGCTGAGATCACGCCATTGCACTCCAGTTTGGATAACAAGAGCGAAACTCCGTCTCAGAAAGAAAAAAAAAAAAAAGAAATCTAAACATTTCCTTTCACAAAATCTATCAAGGACTAGATTAGGCTCTAGCTCTCAGTTACATCAATCTCAGTCATGTGGTATCTGAGAAAATGAAACAAGGGCCACTAGCTCCATTCCACAGAAAAGGATCTCCTTCATTTGGAGACTGATTTTTTCCTTAGATAAATAACTAGAAGCAACAACATAGAAAAATGAGACTTTTGTCACAGTTAAGTATAAAAACAAGAGGTGATGGCCAACAAAGAATAAGACTCCATTATACACTCAAATGGTCCTCAAGGATAGGGCTATGTCCTCATATGTTCATCTCATCGATGCAAATAGCAAAATGTGTCATGATTCAGTAGGGTCAGATCTCCTCGTCCCCCAAAAAGTGTCACCAATAGCAAAGTATGATGAGTATTTCTCAACATGGGGTATAATGACATTGTGGGTGGAATAATTCTTTGTTGTGTAAGACCATCTTGCACAGGACCTGACATTAAGTAATAAATGCCAGAATTCCTAATGCCATTCTAACAACCAGCATCTTCCAAATCCACCTGTGAAGGTGGCACTACTCCAGGTAAGAACAATCAGCATCATGAGAACTGGTGTTATGGAAGTGGGTAGTAGAGGAAAATGGGACTTAGCAATCAGAGAAGTTGGTAATGAGTCCTAGCTATGCCACTTACTTGGACTAATTTTTAGATTTCTCTCAGGTTTACTGTTTGTGTTCACAGAATGGAAAATAGTTCCACCTACTTCCTTGGGCTACCTTACAGATTAAATGAGAATAAGGTACGTGAAAGCATTTCAGAAACCTACAAATGTCATATGTAAATCAGTTATTATAACATTAACAAGACTCAACTAAGTTATTTTCCTCAGTAACAAATTAAGAAAAATAATCACAATAATCGTTTCATAATACCATTATTATTAAACTATAAAAGAACTTTTGATATAAAAATTCTAACAATACAAAAGTACATAATTAAAAATGTTGCTTGGTTTATTCATCAGAGCCAACTGCTGTGAATACGTTTTATATTAACGTACTACCAAAAACACATGACCATCATCCACCACACACACACACATAGAAAAAAAATAAACAAAAACAAAAACAAAAAACCAGGCTGAGCACAGCAGCTCATTCCTGTAATCCCAGCAATCTGGGAGGATGAGGTGGGAGGATTGCTTGAACCTTTGGCAGCCAACCCGGGCAATATAGTAAGACCCTGTCTCTACAAAAAAAATTTAAAAATTAGGCGGGCATGGTGGTGTGCGCTTGTAGTCCCAGCTACTCAAGCTGAGGTGAGGACTGCTTGAGCCCTGGGGGTTGAGGCTGTAGTGGGCTTGATCGCACCACTGCACTACAGCCTGGGTGACAGAATGAGACCCTGTCTCACATTTAAAAAAAAAAAAAAAGAAGTAACCCAAAGCTACACCACATTTCAAGAGGGCAAAGGATGGTCACCTTTAGCCCATGAACAGAGAAGCAGCAGAGGCCAAGCTGAATTGCAGAGAGCGGTCTGCAGGTACAATACTCCCACAGTCTTTCCCTTTCTACTTGATCGTGTTTGCTCACCCAAGAGTAAAAAGTGCTTGAGTGCTAAGTCACAGCCAGTTAGAACATGTACACTTAATATGCCTTCTCTCCACTTAAAATAAACAGCAGTGACTTCTTAGAACAGAATAATCACAAGTGAAAACTAAGGAAAAATATATTAACAAAAAATCTATTTATCTAAATCCATTAGCAAGTTGAAGCATATTTCATGTTACCTTCAGTTTCTGCCTGGAGGGAGCCTGGTACTTCTTGAGTGACACAATCCTGCTCATCTGGAATAGTTGCTACCAAGCTGTCTCCTTCATAGTTTTCTGTTTCAAGTTCACCAGCTGAAGTTACGCTCTGACACTTTCCAGGTTCTGGATGACTGGACTCCAGGAGGTCATCACCTTTTTTAACAGACATGTCTTGTTCCTCTGAATCACTACTTGTGGAAGTGCCGTGCACATTGTCATGAGAAGACGATTCCTGTGATGCTTCTTCATCCATTGGTTTATTAACCCATGTTAGGAATTTTTCTACCTTAAATTTTAAAATGATAACATGAACAGGAATTCCAAACTACACAGAATCTTCCTACCTTTTACCATTTGTGACTTGACTGACAAGCTGTGTCAAAATTATTGGCTCTGAAAAGTAGACTGCACCACACAAACTAGTAAGTAATTCTGACCTACTCAGAATTTGTTATCTGGAGCATGCCATGACGTTATTAACGTTTTCTTTAAAAGGAAAAAAAAAAATACCAGATTAAACACTTCCTGCTATCAATAAACACGAAGAAGATAAAGCCAAACTGTCCGAGTAGCTTTCCATAAGGATTCCAGCAATTTACTGGGCTGTGTGCCATCACCACTACAAATGTACCTACTTACTACTGAATCATTCATTGCACTTTTTCAAATTATAGAGACCTTTCTGCAATGGTCAAGCTACAATCTATGTAAATGTTACTTAGCATCAAAGATAAATGCTAAAAAGATTTAGGGCCAAGTTTTCTATAAGAAAGAAACAGTCTATCTTGAAAAGAAATAAAAGTTGCCTTTTAATGCGACAGTAGAGCCAGTAAGAGACGTCCTAACAAACTATGTTTGTCCTTTGAAATGTTAACAAGGCTCAGCATCAGATCATATACTTCCTTGCATCTTGTGTAACAAGAATATCTTCCTATCTTGTCTTTGTGACTTTCCTAAGAGTGAGTAAATTAGAACGAATGTGGTAGACATGATGGGCAACAACCCAGAATCTTCCTCTAAGGGAATGTGCCCATTAACGAATTAGGTATCTATGGACACAGCAGTCACATATCTTCTTCCTCAGCAATGCCTAGCCGCTATGTTTCTGCACTCATCTATAGATGAATGCATGGGGACTATTATATCCAACACATTTTGGAAAGTCCTACGGCACTGACTGGACTAATACTAGGCAGTCTGTTTCAGATATAACTAGCACCATTAACATGTTTATTAAAATACCACCAGCAGCCAGCCAACCTGAAATGTAATACAAAATGAAACCAGCTATTTATATGTAGCATATTTTGCAAGTATGCTGAAATTAGGGAGGACAATGTATCTTGAGGGGAAAACAGTGATCTGACTAGCCTTAAAAACAAACAACAGAAACAAACAGAGTCATCAGGGAGTCTAAAGCTATGGTCTACTGTCCTGAAGAGCTGCTGGAGATGTGACTGACATCAAGGTTCTGCTCATTAGAAAGTGTTTTTAACCCCTTAGAATATAAAAGGATAATTCATCACACCAAGCAATCTTCTAACTTTTGTTTCCCAGGTACTTGGATGGCAGGTAGAGCAAAGTTCACGAGTGGGGATATGAATATTTCAGGTAATAATGTGAATCAATAAATTGGCCTTGTGTTTCATGCTATCAGAGTGAATTTATTACAAGGTTTAAGTTGTGACTGATCACTTCTGGAAGGACTCAGAATTAAAGCTTACAAAACTGTATCAGAATTTGGACTATTAGGATCCTACTGGTATGATTTGGCTGTGTCCCCACCCCAATCTCATTTTGAACCATAGTTCCCACAATCATCCCCACGTGTTGTGGGAGAAATCAGGTGGAGATCGTTGAATCATGGGGGCAGTTTCTCCCACCCTGTTCTCCTGATGGTGAGTTAGTTCTTACAAGATCCAATGGTTTTGTAAGGTGCTTCCACCTTTGCTGGGTAGTCATTTCTCTCTCCTGCTGCCATGTGAATAAATTATTCCCTTTCCACCATAATTTTAAGTTTCCTGAGGCCTCCCCAGCTCTGCGGAACTGAGTCAATTAAAACCTCTTTCCTTCCAAAATTACCCAGTCTTGAGTATGTCTTTATTAGCAACATGAGAACAGACTAATACACCTACTTAGCCTGAAATAGATGAGAAATTCCTCCTTGTTCTTGTCTGTTACTACATAGGCAAGGTTGTGGTTTTTTTTTTTTTTTTTTTTTGAGATGGAGTCTTACTCTGCTGCCCATGCTGGAGTATAATGGCACTATCTCAGCTCACTGCAACCTCTGCCTCCCGGGTTCAAGTGATTCTCCTGCCTCAGTCTCCTGAGTAGCTGGGATTACAGGTACCCGCCACCACAGCTGGCTAATTTTGGTATTTTTAGTAGAGAAGGGGTTTGACCATGTTGGCCAGGCTGGTCTCGAACTCCGAACCTCAGGTGATCCTCCTGCCTCAGCCTCCCAAAGTGCTAGGATTACAGGTGTGAGCCACTGTGCCCGGCCAAGGTTGCATTTTTTAAATCATCTCAGACACTACTACTTCGTAGCTTTCAAATACTTCCTTTTCATCCTACCTCAACTTGCCTTTTTTCAAATTTAGTTTACATAATATATGCCTTCAAGAAGCAAGTTAAAAAAATTATGTGCCTTGACACCTAGTAGAAATAGGCTTCCTATTTGAATACAACAGTTTTAAGCGGTCAAGCTTATAAAACCTGATTCTGTCTACAAGTATAAAATAAAATTTATACATACCTTACTCAGAGTTTTGCTTTTCTTGAAAAATGGTTTTTCTGACTCTTCGGTAAAGAAGATGTGTTTGTTTTTCATTTTTATTTGTCTGCGCATGTCCAGGTACTTAGACTTATGCTTCATATTCTTCTCTAGATATCTGACCTGCCAATGACTGAAATTTGGAATTCCACCATATCTGTGACCAGATCAAAACAAGTGACTCACACCTTAAATTCTAGGATTATATTTCCTTACAGGAAAAGAGAATGAAACTAATATTTTTCACTCATTTCTACATCATTTTAATTCCCTATTCAAAAGTATGAAAATGACAAATTCAAGTTCAACTTGCAGAAGAGTTGATGGTCTAACTTTTATGTTAATTCTAAAGCAAATGTGTAACACCAAAGTTGGGGAGAGCAACATACCTAATATAGAGCACAAAGTAGAAATTACATAGTAGATTGCAATAAATAAATAGTTAAAAAACCAAAACGCTATCCCCTTGTTAGGGAAATATAAATTTTCTCAAGGTGGGGTGATGTCAAAGCTCTTTAACACATTTCTGGATGTGTCTGAATTATCTAAATCAATTGAGCTTATAAAAGAAGCGAACCCTTAGTATCAAAAAGAGAATGTCTGATTTAACCATCTGAAATTTTCTAGTCCTAAAAGTATGTCTCTGCTATGAAGCCTCCTTTGATTATACTAAGCCTTAATTAACTCCCTCTCCTACAAACTACCAGGGACTTAAACGTGTCGCCTACACTTTAGCATTTCTAATATCCAGAATAGTTTGGGTTTAAATGTCAGGTCTTACTTTGTAGCCATATTATAAACTTCTTTTAATAAGCAGTATATTTTATGCTTCTCTTTTAAGTAGAATTGGGTGCTCAAAATAGAAGAGTGGTTAAGTTAAATCTCAAGCAAGAAAAGAAATAGATCTCTGCAAGCGCATACTACCAAAATCCACCCAAGAATTCCTCAACAAAGTTACATATGCATAGTAGTAAATCCTGCCAGAATTAAAAAATCTTTTTACCTTGCTAACCTTTATGATCTTAGCCTTAAGTGATCATATGAACTATTGATTATATGAACTACAATTGCCTTGAAAGACCTAAAGGAGAAAAACTGATAATTTTGGAAACTGTAATAGTCAACATGTACTTCTGAACTAATTCGAATTCAATTTTGAGACATTCCTCGTGTCCCTTTCTTGCTGACTTTATAATGTGTAGATATCTACTTAACGTGTAGGTATCTCCGTACATTTGATGTGTTCATGTGCTTTAACTCAGTGGTACTTGCACAACTTATGAAATAGATAAGTAGGACCTGAAATCTCATATGTTTAACTCAGTGGTACTTACACAACTTATAAAATAGATAAGTAGGACCTGAAATCTCAACCCTTACAAACATCAGAGTCATGGTTTAGATTAGTGGTGCAAGCTGTCTTTGGCCAGCCTTACCTACTCAGTTTAGTCTTCCTGTCATGTGTGATAAAATCTCTAGTCATTCTAACACAATTCCCTACTTCTTCGTATGTTCCTTTATATTTAATGCTTGGGCATTTAATCCCAAAGAAATCTTATGTCTTCTACATACAAATGTTCATAGCAGCTTTATTTACTCTTGAAATTTCATTTTATTTTTTAATTTTCTGCCTTGCTATGTTACCCAGGCTAGTCTTGACCTCTGGCTTCCAGCAATCCTCTCACCTCAGCTTCCCAAAGTGCTGGGATTGCAGGTGTGAGCCTGCAGCAGCTTTATCTGTAGTAGCAAAATGCCAGAAATAATCCAAGTACCCTTTAACTGTTGCATGGTTGAGCAAATTTTGATACATCCATACACTGGAATTCTATTCAGCAATAAGAAGGAATAAATGGGCTGGGTGTGGTGGCTCATGCCTGCAATCCCTGCATTCTAGGAGGCTGAGATGGGAGGATCACTTGAGGCCAAGAGTTTAAGACCGGCCTGGGTAATATGGCAAGACCCCATCTCTATGAAGAAACTTAAAACAGCGCTGCACTCCAGCCTGGTTTATACAGTGAGACCCTAAGGAAGGAAGGCAGGCACATGTAATAATCTGGAGGGACCTGTGGGGCATTATGCTTAGATCTTAGGAAACAATTTAGATGTTGTTAATTAGGATGATTGATAAAACACAATGCCCCCATTTACAGAAATAGCTAAATGTTTCCACCAACAAGAAAGGGTGTCCATGATATATATATATTGTTGAAGGAGAAAAGCTGGAGAGTATGCATAATATGACTTCATTTTTCTGTTTCACACAAAGAGAACCAAAATGTATTATACACAGCCAGTCATGGTGGCTCATGCCTATAATCCCAACACATTGGGAGGCCAACATGGGCAGCTCACCTGAGGTCAGGAGTTTGAGACCAGGCTGGCCAATATGGTATAACCCCATCTCTACTAAAAATACCAAAAAAAAAAAAAAAAAAAAAAAAAGAATTATCCAGATGTGATGGCACACACTTGTAGTCCCAGCTACTCGGGAGGCTGAGGCAGGATAATCGGCTGAACCTGGGAGGCAGAGGTCACAGTGAACCAAGATCACGCCACTGCACTGCAACCCGGGCGACAGAGTGAGATCTGTCTCAAAAAAACAAAACAAAACAAAAAATGTATGTACATGTATACAGTCATAGCACACAAGAATTTGGAGGGATAAATGCCAAACTCTTTTTCTTAGAGAGTCTCATTCTGTTGCCCAGGCTGGAGTGCAGTGGTATTATCATGGCTCACAGCATCCTTAACCTCCCGGGCTCAAGTGATTCTCCCATCTCAGCCTCCCAAAGAGCTGGAAATACAGGCATGTAACACTAAACCCAGCTAATTTTTAAATTTCTTGTAGAGATGGGGTCTCTCTATGTTGCCAAGACTGGTCTCGAATCCTGGGCTCAAGCAATCCTCCTGCCCCAGCCTCCCAAAGTGCCAAACTCTTTAAACACTAACTACATCTGAGAATGACTGGAAGATTTTTTACTTGTTACTTGTTATTTAGTTTGTTTGAATTTCACTCTTTCTTAAAAAGAGCAAATTTCAACTTTTCATGGCGTGCTTACTATGGTTTTCAGATGTTCACATGTGAGACACTAGGTGAGAAGAGAACCATGCTTAGAAGTTACAAGAGCTGGGCCTAAATTCCCTCTCCAGTAAATGATGTGATCTTGACCAAGTCAAAGCCTCTTTGAGTTGCAGTTGCTTTATCTATGAAATGAAATAACAACACTGGATTGCTATGAAGTACCACTGAGATAAAGCTTATGAACACATCAAATGTACAGGGATATCTTTACCACAATTCTAACAAGAAGTTCCCTAATCATTACATCTCATATGTTATACACATTATAGTTTATTAGTTATCTGAATACCAGAGTGCTCTAAGATAGCTGAAGTGGTTAGACTTCTGGAAGATAATTACTTTTGTCCTGAGCCATGCTTGAATCCTAGAAGGGAACCACTGTCATCAAAGTCTGAAGTTGGGTTTTCATCGATGTCCAGTTCATGGCTAAATGAATAAAGAAAAGGTAAACGGTGACAAGCTATTACCACCAGAGCTCACCAGTTCAGACAAATATTAAAAAGGCAATATAATTGACCCAGGCAAACTTCCCATCACTATAATCAACCATAGTTCACAAATCCAGGAAACCAGGAGAAAGAGTACTTTAATTAGAATTTTCCAAATGAGCTAAGTACCCAGGAGTGTTTGGAACACAGTAATAGGTACTCCAGTCTTAATCCATGTCAAGTAATAATCTCTATTCCTGAGTATGGTACGAATATCATGTCTCCTTTTTCCTTTGGAAAACACCAGTAAAAGCTGTAGCCTTAAATAAATCTCCCGAAGTGATTTTTCCAAAGGTTTCCCTTAAAAACAAAGAAGGAAACATTTGATAAGTATCAATCCTATCAAAAACATTTTAAAAGAAAAAAATTATTAAAAAGAATAAGGTTGTGATATGAGTGATATTAAGTAACCCAGGAGAATACACCTATCAGAGATCTTTTGACAACCAGTGACTACCCCCAGCCATAATCCCAAGTAAAGGAAAACGGTGAGAAGTAATTCTTACAAAGTTTGTCCTTCAAAGTAGGTTATGCTCATTGAAAACAAATGATCTTCACCTTCAGTAACTAGCAGGAACTGGGGAGCTAACGAGCAACATCTACCATATAGAGGGAGCATAGTAGAGGCATACTTGTTTTTCTAGAAGCTATATAGAGCACAAAAGTCTTATGTCAAGCACCTCATATCCTGTCAGAGAAATGAAGTGTCCACTTAACTTCCAAGTTCAGTAATGATCTGTCCTTTCCCTGTTACCTACAGCGTTAGCATCTGACTACGCCCCACCTTACATTATTCTCTACATGTTTAGTTATGTGTAGAAGCGATATAAACCTTCAAGAAAAAAATGTAAAGATGAATACCCAAAAAAGAATTTTTTTTTGGTTATAAAACACAAAAACAGAATTGCAGCTTCGGACATAAGCACAGAATGAGGGGGCCTCATGAGATGTCCAAGGAAGAAAGGAAAAGGTTAGAGTTTCACTGAGGAAAGAGGTACGCAAGTTGTTTAGAAAGTTAGTTTACTGGTGGTGGCAGCATCTTACAACAAACAGCTGATGAGTTTTGATTAGGAGAGCCAGTGGTTGTTGGGTGGAACTCGGATCTGAGTTATGGTTAGGACTCTGCAGTTTTGGACTGGGTCTGTGAGACTGTGTCAGGCACATGTTCCTGTATAAGCAGCTATCTATCCTTGTGTGATGCTTTGGCTTGGAAACATTCCTGTGACAGTTCCTGTTACCAGGCAAATCATGCACGAGAGCCCTCGATTCATGGCCTTCCCTGGCTACATTTTACCATCATTTGACACAAGTGATTCTGTTTTGACTCTTACAACTTTCACAGTGGTAAACAGAAATTGCACTGCTTCAAGTAGAGTTGGTTTGTGCTCCGGCTTTAAAGCTGCCATTATTGTGAAAAACTCTAAGCAAGGTACTCGTCCCTGTTTGCTTCAGTGTTCCTATCTATTCAATGAGAGCATGAGACTGAGGTCTATTTCAGCAATACAAGCCTGGGAGAAGATATACCCAAATTTTTGAAAAAAATTAGAACTGGTGAGAGAGAGAGAGAATATGAATCTAATTATTAGTTAAAAGTTATGGCCAGGCGCGGTGGCTCACGCCTGTAATTGCAGCACTTTGGGAGGCTGACATGGGCAGATCATGAGGTCAGGAGTTTGAGACCTGCCTGACCAACCTGGTGAAACCCTGTCTCTACTAAAAATACAAAAATTAGCCAGGGTGGGTGGCACATGCCTGTAATCCCAGCTACTGGAGGGAGGCTGAGGCAGAAGAATCACTTGAACCCAGGAGGCAGATGTTACAGTGAACCGAGATCACTCCACTGTACTCCAGCCCGGGCGACAGAGCAAGAGTGTCTCAAAAAAAAAAAGTTATAATCTACTGAGAGCTACTAAATGTCAAATACATTATATGCTAGCTCCTGTCTACCCAAGGATCACAAAAAAGGCATCAACCCAATCTTATAGATGAGAAATTAAGAAATGTACTTAGGCTGGGTGTGGTGGGTCATACCTGTAATCCCAGTGCTTTGGAAGGTCAAGATAGGAGGATCACTTGAGGCCAGGAGTTTGAGATCAGTCTGGGCAATACAGTGAGATCCTGTCTCTACAAAAAATTTGAAACAACTAGCCAGGAGTGGTGGCACATGCCTGTAGTACCAGCTACTCAGGAGGCTGAGGCAGAAGGATCGATTGAGCTGAGGAGTTCAAGTTTACAGTGAGCTATGATCATGCCATGTATTCCAGCCTGAATGATAAAGCGAGACTATGTCTTAAAAAAAAAAAAAAAAAAGAGGTAAATGTACTTAGGGTTTGTGAGTGGAAGAGTTCGGCTTTGACCACAGGTCCAGGTCCAAAGGTTCAGAATCTTACCTGCCTCTTCTTACAAGATTACCAGTGTTGTGAACCTAAGAATCATTTAATAACCACTTGCTTACAGACACAAATGCTTACTCTAACACACAGTGGTGAGAGGGGCCTCATGCAACTTACCTCCTCTTGAGTTTGCCTGGCTTATGCTCAGGTGGATCTTCCTCACTTTCATCTCCATCAGTACCACTGGCGTGTAGTCTGACTTGGCTTGTGTTTGTCCCCGAAGACTTCTGTGAACCTAAATAGGCAGAAATACTGCAGTAGGTTTTTCCCTTGGTTTAACAACTTTTCTGCTATTTGTAAAGCCAATCAAAATATTTCAGCGCCTTTTCTGCAATGAACTGTACATGTGCATCGAAATGCCGGGTCACATCTATCTGTTTGTGTGTCTATATGCGGAATCTGTGCATTTAAAAAATCCTAACTATAAGGTTAAATTTAGATTAAAGCTGTCTCTGTATACACTTTAAGCTCAGTTTAAAGGTTTCTCCATACATAGTGAACTGTAACTTAATTGGTTGTACAAAAAGACTGCAACCTACTGTGTACCAAGCACAGTTTCGGCTAATCACAGGCAGCCAACTGTACAAACGATGTTCAAGGAAGGCAAAAGCTGAGCTATAACCAATCCAACTGTTTCTGTACCTCACTTCCATTTCTGTACGTCATTTTCCTTTCTCTTTCCATAAATGTTATACCCATGATGTGGCAGCCCTGGAGCTGCTCTGAATCTATTCTGGCTCTTGGGGCTGCCTGATTCGAGAATCATTCTCTGCTCAATTAAACTATTAAATGTAATTTGTCTAAAGTTTTTAACAGGTTTAAATATTTCCATGATCTAACTACTTAAAAAAAAACCCAAACTAAAACTACTTCTTCATAGCTGCCCATATCTACGCAAACTAACTCACAAAGCTGCCTTTGTGATAGCTGTCAGCAGTCATTCTTACGGAATTTTAATTTAACTGACTCTAAAGATGGCATAATCGCATTGATTAAAAAGAATTACTCTTCATTTGCCTTTAATGTAGTATAAAAGTAACATTAATAATGAGAGTAACAAAGACAATACTAAATACTACCTTTAAAAAGAGTTCTTTAACTTACGGTGGTTAAAACTGAGGCACAAATCTTTGTTCTTTGTCAGACTGGAAGAAAGCAGATAGGTGAGACCAGGAGGAAAGGGGTGTCTGCAGGGTAGACAGGAAACTCTGACTGTGTGAGGGTACTCTCTCAGAAGAGCACCAACCACAAAGAGGAGAAAACATACTTACACAGAAGCCTAACAAATACCTTAAATTTCGAACTCGAGGGATGATCTAAAACAAATAAAAATCTAAAACCCTCAAATTCATCCTGATGGCAGACAAATTGGACTTAAATTATAGAAATGGCCAATCTATAATCACAAGTAAGGGAACAGGCAACGGAAGGCAGAGACTGTGAGAATTACCGTTTGGCAAGAAAAAAAAAAGCAGACAGAAGAGGGAAGAAAACCAAAGAGGATAAATAAGACTGTAAGTCAGAGGCCAGTACAATGCCCAATTACGTATATTATAAACTTTATGGTGGAAAATATGTACAGAAAGGTACCAGGAGAGTATAGAAGAGTATCAGAATGTTAATATAAAATCTTCAGCTAGGCCAGGCACAGTGGCTCATACTTGTAATCAGAGCATTTTGGGAGGCTGAAGCGGGCAGGTCACCTGAGGTCAGAAGTTCGAGACCAGCCTGGTCAACATGGTGAAACCTGTCTCTACTAAAAATAGAAAAATTAGCCGGGTGTGGTAGCTCACGCCTGTAGTCCCAGCTACTTGGGAGGCTGAGGCAGGAGAATTGCTTGAACCCAGGAGGTGGAGGTTGCAGTGAGCCAAGATCGTGCCACTACACTCCAGTGTGGCAACAGAGCAAAACTCTATCTCAAAAAAATAAAAAAAAAAATCTTCAGATAAAAAAAGATGATGGCTGGGCATGGTGGCTCAACGCCTGCAATCAAGCACTTTGGGAGGCTGAGGTGGGAGGATCACTTGAGGTCAGGAATTTGAGACCAGCCTGGCCAACATGGTGAGACCCCCGTCTCTACTAAAAATACAAACAAACAAAAAAAATTAACTGGATGTGGTGGCACACGCCATAGTCCCAGCTACTCAAGAGGCTGGGGCAGGAGAATTGCTTGAGCCTGGGAGGTGGAGGTTGCAGTGAGCTAAGATAGCACCACTACACTCCAGCCTGGGTCACAGTGACTCCATCTTAAAAAGAAAAATAAGGACGGATAAAAATAACACCAAAACAGAAAGAAATGAGAATGTTGTACTGAGGTGAGCTCCACTCTAAGAATTGCATAGAGAAAAAAGCAAGTTGACAGAGCTCTTTAGAAACTCTCAGCTAGATGAAGTATTATTAGCAATCAGAGAAGTGAAGCAAATCTGATTCTTAAGTAAAAGATCAAAACCATTTGTTTCACAAAGGAGTAAGGCTGAGAAAAAAGATGTCTCCAGCATGTAACATCAGGATGCCAAAATTTCAGGATATTCAGATGTCACAAAAATTTCCTCCTCTCCCATTTTCCTGGTATCATTAATTGGATCAACTGACAGAACCCTATTTCCTGTTGCCCAGGCTGGAGTGAAATGGCTAGATCTCAGCTTGCCACAACCTCTGCCTCCTGGGTTCAAGCGATTCTCCTGACTCAGCCTCCCAAGTAGCTCAGATTACAGGCATGTACCACCATTCCCGGCTAATTTCTTTTTGTATTTTCATTAGAGATGGAGTTTCTCCATGTTGGTCAGGCTGGTCTTAAACTCCTGACCTCAGGTGATCCACCCACCTCGGCCTCCCAAAGGGCTGGATTTATAGGCGTGAGCCACTGCGCTTGGCCCTTAATTGCTTTCTAACATGCCTCTTATAAACTCATTTGCTCTGTAAAACTAAAAGTTCCAAGCTCACTCTAAATTAGATTTCTCAAGAGATTCCAAGTTTTCCTTCATTAGCCACCAAAGTACAAGAGGAAGGAATAATATTTTAGAGAACTGTATGAAAATATTCTTATTAAAAGGGTAAATATAACTTGTGATATGAAATTAGAATGGATTAAATCATTTCATTATTATAGGAAATGTAGTTGGTATTAACTCTACAATAAAGGATTAGTAGTAGTTATTTTGCTAAATAAATTCATTTTGCTAACCATTACATGGCAGAATAAATCTTGGTTAATCTTACCCTGAGCTCCTGGGTCTGTGCTTCTATTTCCTGATAAGTTGCTTTCCTCATTGGTTCCTCCGTTACATGGTTCACTTTGGCTGGACGCAGGGCACTCTCTTCTACAACTAACTTCACTTAGCTGTTGATGACCATCCTGACTTATAAAGGACTCTAGCTGGCTCTGTTCTACTTCCTCTGAATTCAGGTTTATGTTACTAATTCCATTAAGTATTTCACTATGATCCTTATCACTTGTACCAGAGCTGTCATTATGAACCGTAACAGGTGTAGATGGAAAAGATACTACTATGTCAACTTTCGTGCAATTTTCATCTTTCTTGTCAGCTTCTGTTTTAGATGTGTAAGCATCTGTATCACAGCTTTGCAAGGCATCAAAAGTCCACCCCTGAGCTTCCCAATACTGAAACTGTTCCAAATAATACCAATAAAGTTGACTATAATGTTGCTCCCATTCTTCCTTTGTATCAGGAAAGTTCCAAGGTTCAGAAGATAGTGCTTGATCTGGATGTTTTTCTTGCCAACTTTGCCACAACAATCCTCCACCATATTCATTCCAATAGTTTTCCCATTTCTCCATAATGTCTAGCTTTGGAGATAGTGTGTTTTCAACAGGATGATTTTCCACCTCAGTATCTTTTTTGCTTTGAAGTTTACATCTTCTGGTGTTCTCACACTGTTCAACTGAAGATGGATCATCTGAAGCCAAAATGTCACCTTCTTCATATTCTTTTCTCCAAGATTCTTGCATAATTTCATCTAAGTATTTCTTTTGATGTTTCTTTTTCTTTTTTATTTTAGCTTTATTTCTAGTATTCGTAGATACCTACATCAGATAAATGATAACTTGAATATAAAATGCACTTCATAAACTATAAAAGAAAGTAGAATCCACATCTATTTTGACAGTAAATTAAACAAAATACTCTCAAAGTCTGTGGGTTTTTAGCTCCACAAAAAAGTGATTTACTACCTAAGCTTCCAAGAGGAGAAACAGTCACACATGCGACATATTATGACTTGCAGTTCTGGTTAATTTATAAATAAATACATACACTTAAAAGAGGCAGAAAGTGCCAATCGTGAATGCATTTATCTGATAAAAGTAATTCTTTGCAATATTTTATTTTAAAAAACTAAGAGATAGAAATAATAAAAGTTAATTAATATTTACCTCAAAATTCTTATGTGCAGATACCCTACCAAACTGAAGTGGCAATCCCATACTTCTCATGAGTTCGGCCTCAGAGTCAAGCTCATTTCCATCTAGGTCTAGACCTTTGCTGTCGTGTGATTCTGCAGTACCACAGGAATAATCACCTTCCTCCTCTTCTGTCGCCTGGTCTCCTATAGACAGCATTTCTTAGCTTAGTTTTTAGGAAAACTTAAGAGGCAGGTTTTCTTATTCTCATTTTAAAGAACCTGAGATGCAGAGTGACTGATTATAGGACCTACCCAAAATAAAGGTATGCAAATGTTACACTTTTTAAAAATTTTTTAGAGACGGAGTCTCACAATACTGCCCAGGTTGGAACATGACTATTTACAGGTGTGATCATAATGCACTAAAAAGCTTTGAACTCCTGGGCTCTTTCAGTCCTATTGCCTCAGCCTCACAAGCAGCTAGGATTACAGTTGCACACCACCTTGGCTAGCCTACAAATGTTACAATGTTTAAAGGAAAAAAAGAAAGACCCCCACAACTGATGGTATGCTAGGCATGGTGGCTCACGCCTGTAATCCCACCACTTTGGGAGGCCGAGGCAGGCAGATCACTTGAGATCAGGAGTTTGAGACCAGCCTGTCTCACAGGGTGAGACCCCGTCTCTACCAAATATACAAAAATTAGCTAGGCATGGTGGTGGGTGCCTGTAATCCCAGCTACTTGGGAGGCTGAGGCAGGAGAACTGCTTGAACCTGAGAGGCAGAAGTTGCAGTGAGACAAGATTGTGCCACTGCACACCAGTCTGGCTGAGAGAGAGAGACCCTATCTCAAAAAAGAAAAAAAAAAAAGAAACCCAAAAACACATCCAAAAACAAAACCAAATGATGCTAATACGGACTAGCAACAAAAAAAAGCCAATGAAGAATCAAGAGACAGTTTCTCGTTGGGCTCTGCCTGTCACTATTCATCCAGCTGCCCATTTAACTTACTCTTACTGAGCATCTGCTCTGTGTTGGGCTTTATGCAAAAGACTGAGGATGGAAAGGAGGGAGAACAGGACCATGTAACACTGCTCTGTGGAAAAAATACTTATATATTCACATTCTTTTTTTTGAGAAGGAGTTTTGCTCTTGTTGTCCAGGCTGCAGTGTAACGGCATGATCTTGGCTCACCGCAACCTCTGTCTCCCAGGTTCAAGTGATTCTCCTGTCTCAGCCTCCCAAGTAGCTGGGATTATAGGCATGTGCCACCATGTCGGGCTAATTTTGTATTTTTATTAGAGACAGGGTTTCTCCATGTTGGTTAGGCTGGTCTCGACCACCCAACCTCAGGCGATCCGCCCACCTCAGCCTCTCAAAGTGCTGGGATTACAGGCATGAGCCACCACGCTTGGCCATATGTTTGCATTCTTTATCTGCAAAATTACTGAACAAAATCAGTGATTTGTGAAGTTACTTTAGGAGGTATTAACATGAGGGGTGAGAAGGCTGGGCACAGTGGCTTATGAACTCTAATTCCAGCATTTTGGGAGGCTGCTTGAGGCCAGGAGTTTGAAACAAGCCTGAGAAACATAGTAAGGGCCTGTCTCTACAAAAAACAAAAAACAAACAAATAAATAAACTACCCGGGTGTGGTGGTGCCTGTAGTCCCCACTACTTGGGAGGCTGAGGTGAGAAAAATGCTTAAGTAATTGGCACCTGGGCAACAGAGCAAGACCCTCTCTCTCTCCAAAAAAGAGAAAGGGTTGAAATCCACTGAACTGGAGGATTATTTTCAAGCTCTCTGAGTCTAATTGTTATAGAAAAACCATTTACTACAACAAAGTAAGTTTTACTTTATCCTAAATTGGTTATCTAATAGTAATTATACCACTAATTGAACATACCTCATTCAAGTGCTCTATTAACTGTTTAAAATGTGAGATAACAAAAATCATTTTACATATTAGCATACTCAATTAGCACTGTGCTGGGGTACTCTCCAGCTTGATGATCTCAGGCAACAGAACAGTAAATCTCACATAGCCAAAAGGAAGCTGATAAGAGAGAAATCTCATGTGTGCAAATTCTACTAAAAGAGGGAGAAAGATATCTTTCTAAATAATGAAGGGGAATGCACTCACTATTCCATTCAATAAATTTATGAAAGCTCAGGAGACAGCAAAACAGGGAAAATTAGTAAGCTAAGTTTTACGTTCCTTTCACAGTATGCATATTTTCTTATGCTCAGGGAACGTAGTGTTTATAGAAGCTTTCTCTATATAGCACAGCACTGAAACACAAACCAAACATTCTAACCAGTGATCAACCAAAGCAACAGTAATTTGTTCCATCCTGTGAGAGTTAAAGGATTTCCAAAGGTAACTATGACGTGTACTTGGGCTGACTTTGGCTTCTAACTCCATGCTATGATTTCCTCTAGGTGTAGAAACACAAAAGGTCTATGTGGAAGGACAAATGCAGTAGGGAAGTTTGAAAGACCAGGGTAAGGCTCAATGTACCATATAAATTATATTTGTTCTTTGGGAAAGTTAACCAACATGACAGTCTCTTTACTTCAGGCAAAACACTATAGATGTTAACCTGGAATTTTCATCCTGTAGCATTTACCTATATAATACACTTCTGATGAAGAAACCATATATTCTAAATTGGAGATGGAGTCTCGCTCTGTTGCCCAGGCTGGAGTGCAGTGGTGTGATCTTGGCTCACTGCAAACTCTGCCTCCTGGGTTCTAGGGATTCTCTTGCCTCAGCTCCTGAGTAGCTGGGATTACGGGTGCCCACCATCACAACTGAATAATTTTTGTATTTTTAGTAGAGACAGGGTTTCACCATGTTAGCCAGGATGGTCTTGTACTCCTGACCTCAAGTGATCTGCTTGCCTTGGCCTCCCAAAGTTCTGGGATTACAGGAATGAGCCAACACGCCCAGCCAGAAACCACATATTCTCTACTTTTCAAAGCTTCAAATTCCAGGTTGCTCTTATGTAATGGTAGCAAATAGGGAAGGAACACTACACAGAGCAAAAAGGGCTACATTAAGTCATCATGGGAGCTACAGACAAGATCTGCTTTCATAGACATTCCAAAACCATGTTATAAAAAAAATAAAATTGTCTATGATTATAGAATTAATTGGCATTTATATTTTATGCTAACAAATCAATACAATATTTTAACATACATAAATTAACACATTATAGCTAATTTCAACGAAAAAGGGTTACATACATAATTGTATACTAGATTACCTGAATTGTTGTCACTGTCTCTGATGTAATAGCCTTTTAATCCCATATTGTACAATTTTCGATCCCTGTGAAGCAGATTAAGCAGTTCATATTGAAATGAATTAAGCCATAAGTTTAGAGGGAAAGAAATCTGAAGCCATCATAGATTAAAAAGCTTATGAAACAGAAAAGCCATTTGTTAATACATTTTCCTCACCCATAATATAATGTAGAGGCAATTAATACAGTTCTCACGGAGCTATTCTAACTGATAGTATATGTAAATATTTAGCATAATGCCTAACCCACTTAGCATTTATTATAACATTTATTACTATAACTACTAGTTATTAAAATTAGGGCCGGGCACAGTGGCTCACACCTGTAATCCCAGCACTTTGGGAGGCTGAGATCAAGAGTTTTTTGAGACCAGCCTGGCCAACATGATGAAACCCCATCTCTACTAAAAACACAAAAATTAGCTGGGCATGGTGGCAGGTGTCTGTAATCCCAGCTACAGGAGAGGCTGAGGCAGGAGAATTGATTAAACCCAGGAGGTGGAAGTTGCAGGGAGCTGAGATCATGCCACTGCACCCCAGCCTGGGCGACAAGAGCAAAACATTATCTCAAAAAAAAAAAAAAAATTAAGTATCATTTCTCCTGGACATTGGGGGAAGAATCTGATATTCCGTATGAAACATAAACAATGGGCTGCTCTGTAAACTTTGTTGTGACTATAAAATAACAGTGGGAAGATTTAGCTTACATACATATAAATCAATATGCACACCCCAATCCATTTGCTAAAAAGACAAACTATCCATTGTGAATAGTAGACATGGTCTGAGTATTACCAAAATAAACCTAACAGAACACTTAAAAAAAAGTGAGATTTTGCTTTTAGGATCTTCCTGACTATAAATTCAGCTGTAATCAACTCCACTATAACTGCCACAATAAGGCCAACTGCAAGTGGAAGCTAACGCAACTTTTCTAACAAGCTACAATACATTTAACTAAATATAGATAACATTCTAGTGTACCTGCTCTATTTCACATCCTCCTGTTTCTTTTTTGGAGATATTGTATGAATTGTAAAGTAGGTGGTGACTCGGCAGGATGGTGAACAGGCAAGGGGGTGAAGTGCAAATGTGCTTTTGTAGCATGCCCTCAGGTCCCCAAGAACACGGGCACTGGGGGTGGGGTGGGGAGCAGAAGCACAGAGAGCGTCACTGGTCTGCCCATCAGCACCTCAGGATAGGAGGCACTGAGGTGTCAGGTGGAGGAGAGGACCAGTATGGTTGCAAGTTGGTTACAATGAGCATGTATGTAAATATGTTGAAGATAATGTTAGCCAAGATTCTCCTTGTTGAAGGTTACTTATTTAATTTATTCTTTAAAATTTATTTTCATTTTTTTAAATTAAAAAATTTTGTTTTCTATTTTTATTTTTAATAGAAATGAAGAAACTTATTTAAAAACAAGATGGGCTCAAAACATCATTTGATAGGAAGGAACGCCAGAAAGAACTGTCAGGTATTGGGCCAAATGAGAAGTATTGTTATCAACCCATGGCATTTAAGTTTATATACACAGCAGACATAAAAAATTTTAAAAGTGTTACATATGTGTATGTATGTATACACACATATACAGACATATTCATGTCCGGTTGTAAAACACACATATATACACTGCTTAACTCTCTTTACTAAGAGGACACAGGAGCAATAAGCACAATGAGCACCCAGGTTTTGGTTTCTAAATACTATTTTCCACTAAAGAAACCAAGCTACCTTGGAGAAATGACAATTCCAGGTTGGAGCATGGACTGTAAAAGATAAACCTGGGTCATCTTATGCCAGAAGGTTAGGATGCACTCAAAGAACACTAGAAATACCAAAAGGACACAGGAGCCACTTCAAAGAGTTCCCCATTGGCCAAATCAAAGACAATGTGAGCACTAAATTAACGTTAGTAATGGAATATAACCTGTGAGTAAACTAAGAATCTAGATTCCATGTTAACATAAAACAAATGAATATGGGGAGAGAAGGGAAAGCGTTCTTTACAGAATGCTAACTAATAAATGCAGTAGGAGCAGAGTAGACAAAAACCACTAGGCATCCTTCACAGAGGTAGCTGATTCAGGTGGAAGTTATCAATGAAGGCCAGGGCTTATAGGTTTACTGGAAAATAGGATGCTAATATAACACCAGAATATGCCCCCAGAAAATACCGAATACAAAACAAACCACTGTGACTTTTTACAGCAGAAAACCTGGCAACATCACCCAGGGTGGTATACCGTCTACGAAAAGTACCTCCTGAGGCCACAACAGAGCTAGGCACAGCATCCTTTGTGGCATTCCTGCTAAGGCATGACCCGACTATTCATGATGAAACATCAGACAGACCCAGGTTATGCAAGGTCATCCTACAGAATGTAAGCACATGAAACTTAGACTGTGGCCTCTAAAAGAGTAAGGGATTCTGGCCAGGCACGGTGGCTCACACCTGTAATCTCAACACTTTGGGAGGCCAAGGTGGGTAGATCGCTTGAGTCCAGTGAGACCAGCCTGCACAATATGGAGAAACACCATCTCTACAAAAATCACAAAAATTAGCCAGGCATGGTCGCTAATTTTGAATTTAGAATGTAGCTTCTAATTTCTACGTTTGAAGAATCTGTAAGGGCCAGGCATGGTGGCTCACACTTACAATCCCAGCAGTTTGGGAGGTGGAGGAGGAAGGACTGCTTGAGGCCAGGAGTTTGAAAACAGACGGAGCAACATAACAGACCCCAGCTCAAGAAAAAAAAAATTAGCCAGGTGTAATAGTGCACACCTATGGTTCTAGCTACGTGGTAGGCGGAGCTGGGAGACTCACTTGAGCCCAAGAGGCTGAGGCTGTAGTAAGCCACTGCACTCCAGCCTGGGGAGCATAGAGAGCCTCTGTTTCAAAAACAAACAAATAAATAAAGACCATACCAGGCATAGTTGCTCACGCCTATAATCCTAGCGCTTTGGGAGGCTGATGGGTGAATCACTTGAGGCTAGGCATTTGAGACCAGTCTGACAAACATGGTGAAACCCTGTCTCTATTACAAATACAAAAATTAGCTGGGTGTGGTGGTGTGCCCCTGTAGTCCCTACTTGGGAGGCTGAGGCATGAGAACTGCTTGAACCTGGGAGGCAGAGGTTGCCACTGCACGCCAGCCTGGGCAACAGCAAGACTCTGTCTCAATTAAAAAAAAGAAAAAAAAAAAAGAATACATATGAAATTATTTGTAATGTAAATAAACTTTTCAGTTCAAAAAGATTAAATTCAATGAAATCGAAAAATAGTAATTAAACAGTGTTTTAAAAGTCATTTTGATTCAAATTCAATTGTGTATTATTTTCTGGAGGTACCAGATGAGAAATCTTCTCAACTTTTTACATTTCATAACTTATATTTTCTCTCTCCTTTTTTAGAAGGAGGGCACTTCCTAAAAGTAACATCAGTACCCAATCATACTGTGGGCCGTGAATTCAGCATGTAGCCTTGGCTGCCGCTGACTGCAAGGTGACTCTCCTTTGGCCTGCATCTTCTACACAGAGCCCGGTACTATCTTCTAGTGAGCTTCTTGGTCCTACCACCGTGCTAGCCTGTAAGCCTTCTGGAGGATAGGCCCAGCTTAACAGGTCAGGTCCTGAGAAAGTGGCAGAAAGACCTTTCTTCCTGGGTGAGAGGGAAGTCAGATGTCCAAGGTTATTACTAGTATGTTCCAAAGCTACTGATAATTTGAGGCAGAAAGATCAGCAACAAGAGAATACCAGCTCTTAAATTTTTATGGAAACTGTTTCTTACTTAAAACTTTCACTCTAACAGCATGCATCACCAGGAATGATGTATTTCTAATGCTTGGCATTTGAAGTATTTCCATTATACTTGCAAGTATTCTCTAAAGCAGTCTGAGTCCGATCAGTAACTTAATGCACAGAGCAATAATGACTGGATGAAATGATGACCTCAAAAACACAGACAGGATCTCTTGTAATTTCTGGACCTGGCATATGTAAGGACTAAATAAACCTTAACTGCTGACTTGAATTGTAAAGCAGGAGACCTAACCTGATTGTAGTATTCTCACTAAGATACTGCTCTCCTTAGAGTCCTGACTGACTAAGCAGCCACCTGAATGCTCATCCTCTTATCACTGAATACAGCAATCATCACCATGATGCCTGTCATCTTTCTACTGCAGCACCTGACACTTGGGGCAACTGAAATAAAAGCTGAGTAAAAGGTTCTTGGAAATCTCTGAAGTACAAGTAGCAATTCCTCTTTTGCAAAGAAACTGAATCAGCTTCATTTTCAAGTAGTAAAAGGGAAAGGAACACTTTCTGAAAGTGTTCAAAGGGGATCACAGAATTATGTGACTTGCCCAAGGCCACACAGGTGATTTTTGTAAGAGCAGACAGATATGCTGTCTATAAGGTCACCACTCTTTTAAATTCTGGCTCAGGAACCTGGTGGAGGGAAAACACATAAAATAATTTTGTTGCATCATATGTGAAAGACTAGAGATCACCACCAGACACTGTCACATGAGTATGATCAGAGGTGGGCTCTTCAGTTTCCAGAATCGTCCTCTATCTCCATGAATCTGTATTAATGCTAAAGTATGTTAACAGGACACCAGTGGTTCTAATGACTTTAGACTACTTAAATACCTTGATGAGGGAGATTCAATAAACTCATGTTTTATGCCAACTGGTAGCGTAGTAGAAAGGCTCTCATGTCATACATGAATTCCAAGGGTGCCATTTACTGGCTATGTGATTTTTTTAGGCCACTATGGAGACTCTTTCAGATAGGGTCTCATTCTGTCACCCAGACTGGGTACAGTGGTATGATCATGGCTCACTGCAGCCTCCATCTCCCAAACTCAGGTGATCCTCCTATCTCAGCCTCCAGAATAGCTGGAACTACAGGAGTACCCCACATGCCTGGATAATTTTTTCTATTTTTAGTAGAGATGGGGTTTTGCCATGTTGCCCAGACTGGTATTGAACTCTGGGCTCAAGCGATTTGCCCTTCTCAGCCTCCCCAAGTGCTTGGATTACAGGTGTGAGCCATCACACTCAGCCAAGACTCAATTTTCTACTTGAGGAAAGTGAAGATAACAAGACATACCTCACAGGGCTGCTGAAAGGCTTAAATGAAAAGAATTTTTTTAAAAAAGAAAAATTATTCTGACACTTGTTAAAATGGTAAAGAAAGGCTTTATTTAGGACAATCATGGTAGGAATCAACATAATGGTAGCCGGACATGGTGGCTCATGCATGTAATCCCAGCATTTTGGCAGGTGGATCATCTGAGGTCAGGAGTTTGAGACCAGCCTGGCCAACAAGGTAAAACACCAACTCTATTGAAAATACAGAAATTAGCAGGGTATGGTGGTGCACTCTTGTGATCCCAGCTACTTAGGAGGCTGAGGCAAGAGAATTGCTTGAACCCAGGAGGCAGAGATTGCAGTGAGCCAAGATCATGCCACTGCATTCCAGTCTGGGCGACAGAGTGAGACTCTTATCTCAAAAAAGAAAAAAAAAATAATGGCAACAGGAGAAGGAAATTCTGTTCAACTCCAAATACAGCAAAGGCAGCTGAAGGCAGTCAATGGGCAGAATGCAGGAGGCACGGTCAGCGGATGGAAAATTACTAAGAGATATCCAGGGTGGGGGGATTGTTGCTCCTCCAGAGTGATCAGATACTAAGGGTGGGAAGACTCTCGCTAAACAGACTTAGCAGGATTCTTGTTAAAACTTAGGTCTAGGCTGGGTGCAGCAGCTCACACCTGTAATTCTAGCACTTTGGGAGGCTGAGGTGGGAAATACTGTTTGTACCCACGAGTTCCGGACCAGCCTGGGCAGCAAGGCGAGATCGCTGTCTCTACAAAAAACAAAAAAAAAAGAATTAAGCAGATGTGGTGATGCATACCTGTGGTCCCAGCTATTAAGGGGCTTGCTTGAGTAAGGGAAGTTGAGGCTGCAGTGAGCCATGACTGCACCACTGCACTCCAGCCTGGGTGACAAAGTGATACCCAATCTCAAAAAAACACCCCCAAAAACAAAACAAAACAAAAACAAAATCCAAGAACAACCCACCCCTCAAAAAATAACAAACAAACAAAACTAATGGACTTAGAAGGATTCTTGTTAAAACTGAGCCAGACAGGCTGACCATAAGTCCCAAATGACTCCCAAATGACAAGGCCTAATCAAAAGGAGAGCTTGGAGGAAGCTATGTAAAGTTTGGTTAAGGTGAGTCTCTGTCAGTACAAAACGTAAAACAATTGGTGGTGGTACTTAATAAGTCATCGATCAATCCAAGGGGTTTTGTCAATGCTAGTGGATAGTTCTTTTTTTCTCCCCATGATCTGTGGTTTTCTTTTTGATTATCTTAAGTCATATGATCACACATAATTTTTAAATTATGTGTATATCTCCTCTACTTTAATCCTTCTTTTAAGTTGGCAAAAGCACCATTTTCAATCACAAATACACAGCAGTTGTACAGTTTTGTTTCTGAATGGCTACAGACAACCCTAAATCATAACTTACTTTGACTTAGATTGGAAAGAACCCAAGAGTGAAATTTAGTTGGCTACTATTTTAAAAGCATGTGACCTTATAGATCATCTATAAAATGTGTTAAGTGTTAAATAATTTTTGATATTACACATAAACCACACTAAAATGCCTTTCAATATGTAAGAGGAACCATTTTAAATACAGTGAATTCTAATTAGACTGGCATAGTTAAGGTCAAAAATATAAAGTAGCAATTGCTACCCATTTATCTTCAACCTTTGCCTTTAAGAGACAAATGAACACAAAACACAGGTGAATCTTGCTTGGTTCTGAGACTCTGAAGGAATTTCCCCATATTTAAATATATTCATATAACTAGTTATATAAATCTAAATATAAAACCAATCTCCAGTAAGTTTTAAGATGGCGATCACCATCTGTGAAAAGTTTAACATTACTAAAGAAGGCTAAGCATATCTTTAGAAGGGGTAAACAGTGATAGCATTTACTAAATTGGAATTACTATTAAAATTAAAAAACTGAACGTATTCATTTAACCACAAGCCAGTCTTAAGTTTTAAATCAGGACTGCCCAACAAAATATTCTGTCAGTCATTCATGATGTAAATTCCGGTGTATGAGATCTAGTAAAGTACGGTACACATAGAAAAGTCATGACATTTGTTCTGTAATAAATAAGGCAGTGGCCAATTATTACTCATTAGTAGCTTTTTTGAGATAAGCTATCAGCTCTGCTCTTTCTCCCTTCCTCTTAATGCCGACAAAAATAATTTTTGTTTCAGGGATGTACTTCTTGGGATTCTCCAAATACTTCATCAGCATATCCTCTCCCCAGGTGATGCCTCTGTTCTTACTGGCTAGGTGTAAGAGAACCCATCCGCCCAACCTGTGTTCCGCCCAGAGACCATGGAGATGAGGCCCAGTCTTGTGCTTGCCTGCCTTTTCCTCGGTGTGGCCCTGGACACACTTCTGAACAAAAATCCTCTTGCCTTTCTCAACATCAGCCATATTTAATTCTCTTTGTTCGCCGCTGTCACGATAAAGGTTACCACTCAGAATCCGGACGTCCCACTCCCCTAGTGGATACCTTTTAGCCCTCATTTTGCTTGACATTTTAATAGCTTTCCAGTGACATTTTAATACACCTTCACTGAAACACCTGGTGACAGTGTACTTGGGCTTGCCTTCTGTTTCCTAGTTAATCCACCTCTTCTTGTCTTTAAAAAAATGTTGGAATTCTTCAAAGATGGATCCCACCCGGTAAATGAGTTCAATTACTATCTAAGGCTAAACAGCTCAGGTTTTAAAAACTAGTCTAGACTTCTCCAGCGCTCAAAATCAATATATCGAAGTGCTTGTGTCATCTATCCTTGGTTATCTCACAGGCACCTCAAAATCAAAATGTACAAAATCAAACTCATGATCTCTTCTCTGCTGACCCAAAATAAAACCCATGATTCTCCAGTGATCCCTTCCCCAGTGAAAGGCAGCAATACAAGCTAGAAACCCAGGGAGATACGCTTAACCTAATGTTCTCCTTGCCATCCTTTAATCTTTCCTTCATTCCCCCACTTCCAATTCAATCCCCACCCCCAACAAATTTTCTCCTATCTTTCCCCTTTCTCTATTTCCACTGCCATCCATCCTAATCCAAGCCACTGTAATCTCTTGCTTAAATAATGGTCTTAAGTGATTCTCTTCCTCTAAATGATCCTCCACACTTCTGTCAGAGTAGTATTTTATTTATTATTATTATTTTTTGAGATGGAGTCTTGCTCTGTCGAAAGGCTGGAGTGCAGTGGCGCGATCTCGGCTCAATGTAACAAGTTCTGCCTCCCTTCCTCAGCCTCCTTAGTAGCTGGGACTACAGGCATGCACCACTACGCCTGGCTAATTTTTTGTATTTTAGTAGAGATGGGGTTTAATCATGTTGGCCAGGATGGTCTCCATCTCTGGACCTCGTGATCCGCGCTGCCTTGGCTTCCCAAGCGTCGGTATTACAGACGTCAGCCATGGCGCCCCGCCCCAGTAGTATTTTAAGTATGCAAATCTGATCACGACATTCCCCAGCTAAACGTTTTCCTACGGTCAACAAAGTCCTGCATGTTTTGACCCGGCCTACCCTGCCCACCTTATCTTCTTTCTTTCCCAGTCATTTCTTTTCTTTTTTTTTTTTGAGACAGGGTCTTGCTCTGTCATCCCGGCACAACTATGGCTAACTGCAGCCTGGATCCCCTGGGCTCAGGAGATCTTCCGGCCTAAGTCTCTGGAGTAGCTGGGACTACAAGCATGTGCCACCACCACTGGCTAATTATTAAAAAAATTACAGTACAGATGAGGTGTTCCTATATTGCCCAGGCTAGTCTCCAACTTCTGGGCTCAAGCAATCCTCTCTCCTTAGCCTCCCCAAGTGCTGGGATTACAGGTGTGCACCACCGTGCCTTCCCTCCTTGCCATTTTGTTCAGTTTCACAGGCTTTCTCCGTCCCTCAAGGCCTTTACTGAATTGAGCCTGCAGAGAATGCTTCTTCCCACTGAAACTTACCCCAATCTATTTCCCTCAGACCTCTTTCCAAGAGCTACTTCCTCAAAGAAACCTCTGTGACCCTTGGAGAAAGGTTACTTGTTTTCACAGCATCCCGCACTTCTCTCTCATAGCGCTTATAACTATAACCAACCAAGTAATCATGTAACCAGCTGTCTTAAAATTCATCTTCTTTGCTGCAAGTAAACTCTGCCTACCAGCATATTTGATACACAGGAGCGCAAAAAACATTTTCTTTTCTTTTTTTTTTTTTTTTTGAGACGGAGTTTCGCTCTTGTTATCCAGGCTGGAGTGCAATGGCGCGATCTTGGCTCACCGCAACCTCCGCCTCCTGGGTTCAGGCAATTCTCCTGCCTCAGTCTCCCAAGTGGCTGGGATTACAGGCACGCGCCACCATGCCCAGCTAATTTTTTGTATCTTTAGTAGAGACGGGGTTTCACCATTTTGACCAGGATGGTCTCGATCTCTTGACTTCGTGATCCACCCGCCTCGGCCTCCCAAAGTGCTGGGATTACAGGCTTGAGCCACCGCGCGGGGCCACAAAAAACATTTTCTGAATGATTGTATGATTACATGCATGCCGGACTAAAAAGGCAACAATACTTTTAACATTAAACTTAACATGTTTAACTTCTTTTTGTGTTTTCAAATCACTCGACAAAATTACATGAGAAAAATGAAATTTCTTGAAAGTTAAATCTGACTATATTAAATTATATTAAAAGTCCATCACATAAAATTCACTCCCACAGGATTTAACTGTAATAAAATAAGCACGTTAGATTAAATATACCCGTTTTAGAGATGAAAACAAAATTCAAGTGGCTTAAATCACGCATTTTTTTTTTTTTAAGACAGTCTTGCTCTGTAGCCCAGGCTGGAGTGTGGTGGCGGGATCTTGGCTCACTGCAACCTCTGCCTCCCGGGTCACAGTCAAGCAATGATGCTCCTGGTTAAGCAATTCTCCTGCCTCAACCTCCTGAGTAGCTGGGATTACAGGCGTGCACCACCATGCACAGTGAATTTTTCTATTTTTAGTAGAGACGGAATTTCACCATGTTGGCCAGGCTGGTCTTGAACTCCTGACCTCGTGATCCGCCCGCCTCCGCCTCCCAAAGTGCTGAGATTACAGGCGTTAGCCACTGTACCCAGCAATTCACGCATCTAATATAAAGAAAACAATTCCTAGAATTCAACTTTGGCGGTATTTTTCCTGCATTCTAGCTATTTTCCAAGCAGAGCATTTTTTTTATCTGAAACAAGGATTTCCCCAAAATAAAGATACCACAAAAACGGATGTAAATATAGCTAAGTCTTTTATTTCAAATAGTTTGAAGTTTTAATTATGTGCATTTGGGCTTAAGCAGATTTTCAGGTTTTAAAAAAGATGTCAACCAAAGCAAGCCGCCCAACTTTAAACTTTCACTTTATGACATCATACCCACTAAAGATTTCATTTTACATGTCGCTTTCCCCCAATTTTTAAATGCCCTCTGGATTTACAAATGTGAGATGACATATAGCGCCCACCCCATTTTTTCATAGCAGCCTACCAAGTAGATGAAGTCCTTCACTCAAAAGTAACGGCAGTGGGCGACCACTTCGTCATGTCTGAAGGTTTTTTGTTTTTCTTAAAGATCCCCTTGCCCAAGGGTCAGATGCTCTGGCTGGTTTTAGGGATCAATTACAACCACGTTTGCAACACCTACATTTCTGGTAATGACGGTGCTAGAAAATGAAGAGACCATCGTTGCTACTTACTCTACAAATGCCCTGGAGCAAAGGCACAGGATCTTACATTCCTCCTCCCGGTCTTCAAGGAAGAGAAACATTTCCGCCACGCGGCTCCACTTCTCGCAGCACATTTTACCACTTTGGAGGCAGCTGTGCCGTATGCAGCCCGGGTCGCGCCTCCCGGGCCTCGGCTGGGCCCCTGGAGACCTAAATGAGACCTCGCCAGCAAGCCCGGGGTGAGGAGTTAGGAACTAGCCCCTGACGGCTCGCGCAGGAAGCTAGCCCGGACGCCGCTGTCGCCGCCGGAAGTGGATCCGGGCGGCCACGGGAAGGGGCGGGACCACGGGCAGTGTCACCCACATCGCGTCCCGGGCTACAGCCTCCGCTTGTCTTCTTCCGCACAGGTTGCTTAGGAGGGATCCGCCGCGCAAATCTGTCCGCCCCTTCGGCCTCTGAGCCCCCGAAGAGCTCCTGTCGCCGCTCTAGGGTAAAGGAGAGCTGCCCCTGCCCCCGCCTATCCGAGGTGCGTCGGTCCTCGCGCTCCTTCAGCCCGGCGTCTGGGTTCGCGGGGTTGGGACAGGCGGAGGCCGCGCGCGTCCAGTCTCCAGGGAGCCGCCTCGGAATCCCGTTTCTGTGCGGCCAGGCTCGGTTTCCCGCCGAGCTCCGTTTCCCACCCGGGCGCCAAAGTGGCTAGGTCTGGAGATCCTCCCTCCTCTGGGTCAAACGAACCTGCTCTCCTCGCCCCTCTCCTCTCGCGCCCTGAAACCTTCAGTTCTGCGCGTTTCCTCCTAACGCAGCTGGTGGGGCGAGGCGTCTTCAGCATCTCTAGAGGCCTCTAGGCTTGCCCCATAGCTTCGCTGGTTCCGGGACCCACATCGAGCCTCCGGTGGAAAAGCCGAGGGGAAGTGTGTGGTGATCCCGAAAATGTAGGGGGAAGGCCGTGTGGGTAGAGCGTTCGCATCCAGACCTATCAGGCTTGGAATCCTGGTCCTACCCGTGTGACCTGGGCAGGCTACACGTTTCTACGCCTCACTTTGATCATCTGTGAAATGGGGATGATAAATAGTAACTACTACATGAGGCTGCAGGGAGGACTAAACGAAACAATGTATATCACACCTTTCCTTTGTGCTATTAATAGTTTGAGTCGGTTTGGACCTTGTAGGCGCCAAGGGCTGTCTCAGTCCCTGGGGTTTGCAGCCCGTAAAACAGGTCTCTGCCTTGAAGTTGCTAATTAATAAGAAAAATACGTTCATGTGCACATAAATAGGATGGAGAAAACGGGAACAGCAGCACTGCTGGATCTGTAAAAAGCAGTTGGTATTTGGCATGTGGTATTCATGGCCGCTGCCCGGAAACTTCTTCAGAGACAAGCTCAGACTTGAAAGTTGTAGCGCTTAGGACGTGGTTTGTGCTACGAAATGTCAAAATAGTATTGGTACTTCTTTAGAACTATATAAAAACTGAGCTAAAATTCAGACATTTTGAATGGCCACTAGTACTTTGGCCACATTTACTAGTTAGTTTTTCAAATGTTTATTCATACTGCTGCCCTGCTTTGAGGTCAGAGATAGGCTGATTTTGGTGATTCAAGAAGGTAAGAGTGCTGCACAGTTACAGATATACCGGCATAGATGTGCAGCATTACTGGGATGAGTAGCTGGCTTACGATAATAAGGGTAGAACAGTAATTATGAAATAGAATGGAAGATTTTAGCTAGACGTTGGGCATTCTAGGATTGAAAAAAAGTCTTGAAGGGTAATTTGTGTCAGAACCTCGAGTTTAAAGCTTGAAAGCAAAAAGGTATTAAAGCTAAAAGGATTCGATTTACCAGCTATGTTGACAATATTAAAGCAGCTTTATTCATGATTTGAAGTAGAAGCCCTATTCAGTAAAACTGAGTGCTGTGCTCCTATTAAACCATTATTAAATATGCAGAAAGGAAACAGGAAATCTTGTATTTCCCAGACTATATATTTTAATTGGCATTTTCAGAATGTTCTCAGTGTGGCTTATATACTGAATGTAAAATGGAAAAGCACTGGTAATAGGTGTTCAAAATAGATATAATTTCTTTTTAAAATTTATAATTATTATTTGAGACAGGGTCTTGCTGTCGCCCAGGCTGGAGTGTAGTGGCGTGATCTTGGTTCACAGCAACTTCCACCTCCTGTACTCAAGCAATTCTCCCACCTCAGCCTCCAGAGTAGCTGGGGCTACAGGCATGCCACCATGCCTACCTAATTATGTGTGTGTGTGTACACGTGTTGTGTAGAGACAAAGTTTTGCCCTGTTGCCCAGACTGGTCTTGAATCCTTGGGCTCAATTGATTTGCCTGCCTCAGTCTCCCAAAGTGTTAGGATTATAGGCATGAGCCACTGAGTCCAGCCTAAAATAGATACAGTTTTTTTTGTTTTTTTTTGAGAGGGAGTTTCGCTCTTGCTACCCAGGCTGGAGTGCAATGGCGCGATCTTGGCTCACTGCAATCTCCGCCACCTGGGTTCAGGCAATTCTCCTGCCTCAGCCTCCCGAGCAGCTGGGATTACAGGCACACACCACCGTGCCCAGCTAATTTTTTGTAATTTTAGTAGAGACGGGGTTTCACCATGTTGACCAATATGGTCTCGATCTGTTGACCTCGTGATCCACCCGCCTCGGTCTCCCAAAGTGCTGGGATTACAGTCTTGAGCCACCGCGCCCAGCCCAGATACAGTTTTTTAAGTGTTTTATTGAAAACCAAAAAGTTCTCTATTCTGATTTATCAGTTTCTGAAATACTCTGATTTTAAACGTCTATAAGGTCCGTCCATTATCCTCACCATCAATGTCAATATGATGATATTTGAGCTTGTCAACTTTCTTTTTTTTGAGACGGCGTTTCACTCTTGTTGCCCAGGCTGGAGTGCAGTGGCATGATCTTGGCTCACTGCAACCTCTGCCTCCCACGTTCAAGTGATTCTTCTGTCTCAGCCTCCGAGTAGCTGAGATTACAGGCATGAGCCACAAACCGGACTAATTTTGAGTTTTTAGTAGAGATGGGGTTTCCCTATGTTAGGCTGATCTCTAACTCCCGACCTCAGGTAATCTGCCCGCCTTGGCCTCTCAAAGTGCTGGGATTACAGGCATGAGACACCGCTCCTGGCCTTCTCAATTTGTTTTTACTTAAGTTACATGATTTCCAGATGGGCAATTAAGCTACTTCATATGTGATGCATAAGACTTTATTTTAGATTTGTAGAGGCGGGGTGGGGGTTATTTTATAGAAAATAACCTGGAATTTTGGTAACTAAGATATTGTATTTCCCCCAAAACACCTAATACATTCAATACATAAGGCTTATTATTTCCCTCTGAGACAGGGTCTTGCTCTGTTCCCCAGGCTGGAGTACAGTGGTGTGATCATCGTAGCTCACTGTAGCCGTGACTTCTCAGGCTCAAGCAATCCTCCTGCTTTGGCCTCCCAAGTAGCTGCCACTGCAGGAACGTGCCACCATACATGGCGAAGTTTTAATTTTGGTAGAGACAGTGTCTCACTATGTTGTCCGCAGGCTAATCTCAAGCTCCTGAACTCAAGCAGTCCTTCCTTCTGTCTTGGCCTTGAAACGTGTTGGGATTATAGGCATGAGCCACCACGCTCAGCCCATGTCATTTTTCTTGGATTAAAATAAAGTAATAAGGAGTCAGTTACATCCCAAGGTAAATTGAGGGGGAAGGAGAAGGGCCAGGCAAAAGTATAGGGTAGACAGAAATTGCAATCTGAATATTTTCAGACTCTGTCAAGAGAGGAAAAGAGAGATATATCAAAGAAAGTGTAATGGAAAGCAGACTAGGAGGTCAGAGGACTAGATTTTAACTTTAGGTCTTGGCTTTTACTGAGTTAATGTAGTAACTTTGAACAAATAAACTTGGCTTTGTGTGTTTAGTTTTTTTGTTATCTGTACAATTAAGGAGTTGCATTCATTGAGATTTAAAGACACTTTGTCATACTGTCAAAAGGAAGTGCTGTATTTTATCCCCTGAAAAGCATTTTCTTCAAATTCCTGTGATAGTTCTCCAGTATCAGGTTTTAGGATGCTGTCTTGATCCACATTTTTGTTAAAGATTTAGATGAGGCTGAGAATGGTGGCTCATGCCTGTAATCCAAGCACTTTGAGAGGCAAAGGCCAGTTGATCACTTGAGGCCAGGGGTTCCAGACAAGCCTGGCCAACATGGTGGGACCCCATGTCTAATAAAAATTCAAAAATTAGCTGGGTGCAGTGGTGCTTGCCTGTAGTCCCAGCTACTTGGGAGCCTGAGGTATGAGAACTGCTTGAACCTGGGAGTTGGAGGTTGCAGTGAACTGAAATTGAGCTATTGCAGTCTAGCCTGGATGACAGAGTGAGACTCTGTCTCAAAAAAAAGAAAAAAATGTAGACAAACACAGTTCAGATGTATTTTTAGCCAGCATTTTTTAGGTGCCTACTTTGTGCCAGGAAGTATTCTAAGTGTTTTACATAAGTTTTCGCAGATACTACCTATTTTATTTACTGACATATTTAGAATAGTGTCTGGCACAAACTTTTCAGGGCCACCCACCTGTACACTGTATCCTGTCTCCTTTGGCCTTGGCAAGGACAGAGCTCTGACAATTAGCTCCTTTCCCACATCATCCATTTCTCACTCTCCCATTGACAAATTATCATTGACATTGAACATGGCTGTATTTTCTCCTACCCTTTTTTTTTTGAGATGGAGTCTCACTCTGTCCCCAAGGTTGGAGTGCACTGGCAGAATCTCCGCCTGCATAACCTCTGCCTTCTGGGTTCAAGCAATTCTGTTGCCTCAGCCTCCCGAGTAGCTGAGACTACAGGTGTGCACCACCATGCCTGGCTAATTTTTGTATTTTTAGTAGAGACAGGGCTTTACCATGTTGGCCGGGCTGGTCTTGAACTCCTGACCTGAAGTGATTGAGCAGCCTTGGTCTCCTAGAGTGCTAAGATTACAAATGTGAGCCACCATGCCCAGACTTTTCTTTCTTTCTTTTTTTTTTTTTTGTAAGGCAGAGTCTCTTGCTCTGTCACTGTGGCTGGAGTGCAGTGGCTCAGTTTCGGCTCACTGCAGACTCTACCTCCCAGGCTCGAGTGATCCTCCCCCTTCAGCCTCCTGAGTAGCTGGGACCACTGGTGCATGCCACCATGCCCAGCTAATTTTTTATTTTTATTTTATTTTATTTTTTTGAGTGGAGTCTTACTCTGTCATCCAGGCTGAAATGCAGTGGTGTGATCTGGGCTGACAGCAATCTCCGCCTCCTGGGTTCAAGCCATTCTCATGCCTCAGCCTCCCGAGTAGCTGGGATTACAGGTATATACC